TACAACTAAATTAGAAAACAATCAACCTGGAGAACCATCTAAGTCTAGCCAAACAGAAGTCCTATAACTAAAAATATAAAGAAAAAGCTACGTCAAGACTTGTAGGAAGGGTGGAGACGCAGAACAGGCCCCAATCCTCCCTGTAGTGGATGAGAATCAGGTGGAATATCTCAGCCATGGAGGCTCCCCCTGGAGGAGCAATGTACCCCAACTCCCCACACCAGGCTCCCCAGCCTGGAGTACTGGTGCTGGGAAGAGGAGCCCTTACAACATCTGGGCATGAAAAACAGTGGAGATTCTGACCATTCAAGTGGGACAGAAGGCTGCACAAAACCCAGACGTCCTCTTAAATGGCCCACACACAGATTCACTCACTCGCAGGCACTCACCTGGGGAAGGACAGTGACTCGGGGGGCCTCAAAGACATACGGGGGGCAGACTGAGGTGTGTGGCTGCAGGGGGAGGACTGGAGGACAGTCTGAATTTTCCTGGTGAGGATGCCTTCTCCCATGTTGCCAGCAGGTGAGCACCATCTTTCCTGTGTTGAGCCTGCCCCCTACACTTACAGCCAAATCTGAACCTAGTTGGTCTGGTGAGTTCTGCAGCTGCACCCTGCTGACTCAGTTGGAACCCCTCTACACCCAACTCATGCACCACCTGAGGCACTTTCTCCTGGAGCAGCCAGCCCCGCCCATATTACATTCTTTCTTGGAAAACTACTGGAGTTCATAGGCCCCAGGCAGGTGGTGACTGGCCTTGATGTGCTCTGAGACTTTTGCTGAGTAGCTCCAGGCTCAGCACTGACACCAAACCAGAATCTACATTAACCTGGTGACCATGACTCTTCCCACTCTAGTGACTCCCTGAGACCCTGCCTCACCCAACTAGCATACCGCACGAGGCTTTATCAGTGGCTGAACCTTAAGGGAGCTGGCAGGTGGCAGCAGGCCTCAGAGTATCCTGGCTTTTTGTGGAGTTACCCCAGGCCTGGTACTGGTGGCCGCTGTCCTCAGTGTGCAGCATGGCCTCTCCCATGAGCCTCCAGGGTTAGCACAGGCAGTGAACAACCACGGATCACTTTGTAGGTCTTACCAGGTAACCCCTAGCCAGTCACAGGCAGTGGGCAATCTGGGCCTGCACCAGAGCCCCTCCCAAGAAGCCCCAGAACCAACATACTTGGATGCTGGCTTCAGACTACAGCAGAGCACCACCCAATTAGCTCCACAAGTGGCACACACAAAGGGTGTTCTCAACAGGCACCAGAGAAATATAGTCAAGTATATTGTGATAGCATAGTATAGTGTCAGATGGTTGCTGGACTTATCATGGTGATCACTTCTTTAGGTATATAAATGCTGAGTAACTATGGTGTACCCCTGAAACTAATATAATATTGTATATTAGCTATATTTTTAATAAAAATCTTAAGAAAAAAGAAACGTTAAAGAAGAAAACAAAGTAAAGTGACCATTCAGTTGGGAGCTTCTTTCCACTTTTTAAATTTTTTATTCAAAATCTAAAATGACCGAAGGAACTAGATTTAAACTTATCAAGTGAATAAGACAAAAATTCAATTAAAAACAGACTTTTAAAAGCGTTTAAAGTAATTTCAAAAATTATTACTCATTTTGAAAAATGTGTGGGAAAGATAATAATATCTCGTCAGGAGATTTCGCAATAAAATATAAATTTTCATTGTTGGGGGAAGGGATCCCTGTGGCCTTCCTTTAAGTCTTTGAGCTTAAAGATGGTGAATTCTCAAGGATTCCTCTAACTATGTAATTCTATGAATCTATGATTTGCCCTCGATGTTCCCAGAAATCATTTAAAAACATCAATAGTAATATGTTATTAGAAAATGTTAGAAAATTAATACAGACCTTCAGAACAGAAAGTAAATTTGTACCCCAAAAGAAATAATTATCCTTATCGTGAAGGAAATGTGTGTTTTATGATTAGGACAAGAAATATGTTTGTCCCTGTTAGTGTGATTTTCTTTTCTTCTTACAGTTATAGGCTATGTGGTGTAGGGAATAAGAGAAAGCTACCAAGGACTTTTTTCATATTATTTAAATAAAAATGCACAATACACTTCCAACTTACTGAATTAAACTATTTAAACTTCATTTTTTTCTTCAAGAGTCTGATTTGAAATTAGTGAGTTTTTCTAAGACATTTAAACTGCAAGCAGGGCCGGCCGAGTGGCACATTGGTTAAGAGCTGGCTTGGGATGCCAGAAGGACCCGGTTCAGATCCCACATATGAGGGCCAATGACACTGCCCTCTACAGCTAAGATGCTGAACAACAGCTCAACCTGGAGCTGGGCTGCCATGAGTCGCCGGCGACGGCGTAGGCTACAACCCCTGCTGCAGTGGGTTGCCATGGGCTACCGTGTGTAGCCAGCAGCCAGCGTGAGTGGCCAGTAGCCACAGTGAGCGGCCGTCCAGAAGCTGGTGACCGATCTGCCTTGCTCAGGAAGAGCGCAATGATGGTGCCAACTTGGGCCAGTGAAGCAACGTCCTCCACAACTAGACTGAAGAACGAAATGACAGCAACTTGTCTGTTCCCCTTCCCCCAATTCCCCAGCTCTGTTCCCATCCCCCAATTCCCCAATTAAAAAACAAACAAACAAAACAAAAAAACTGCAAGCAATATGTTAAATGAACCTAAAGTGTGGTTTGACTCCAGGGGCAGTGCCTTTAAATGATTATTGTGCATCTTGGTTAAAATTTATGCTGTAATGTCACCTGAATTTACCAATATATTGAATGTGTCTTGTCTTTCAGGGGATCTTGAAGGAAAAGTGAAGTGGCTTGATAATTTCCAAAAGTTTAGACATCTACAGGAGATTATAGTGTGGCCTCCACTTTGGGATAGAGATAAAAGGTTTTTCATTCCAGAGGTACAAAAAAGATCATTTAGGACTTATGTCCCTTTCCAGAAGTTTGGCATTCAGGTGGAAATACACGAACCTTTCAAAGTCCCCAGCTGTTTGCTTGAAAAAAAGAATCTAGTTTTATGAGCAAAAAGTAAAGCCTCCTTCCATGTGCATTGCATGTGGGGAGGCTGATGTCATCACACCATTCTTTGGGCGGTCCTTCTGAAAGGTTTTCCCGCCCTTACCCATTCCCAAACCCACCTACTGGCATTTCCAAATGTCTTGACCTTGATAGACAGAGTGCATTACCCCAGCTCCTGAAACATGTTCTCTGCCAATCATTAACAACCTCTCTTTGATTTTCTCCCTTGTTTTGCAAGTGCCTGAAACACGTTTTTAAGGAACAGATGGCAGAAAACATCCTGTCGCCAACCAACAGACACCTTCTCCACGAGGGAAAATTAACTCTCGCAGGTAACTGCTTCTTTTAAAAACCCTACTCTCTGCTACCAATTGTTGCTAATTGAAGGGTGGGGAAAAACTGTATTGGCCTATAGACAAGGCGATGGAAGATGTGAATCAGAGAACATCCTAAGGAGTCAGGCAGATGCCGGCTTGATCCAAGATTTCACAACATAACTAGATACGTACTCTCCCTTTTCTCTCTGTAAAATGGGGTAACTACATGTATCTCACAAGATTGTTGTTAAAATGAAATAACATATCTGAAGAGCTTAGCTCAAGGCCTGGAACATACTGAGCAGCCCATGTCAGCTGTTATCATCATTTTCCTCCTCTGGTGAGTTAGGCAAGCATCCTATCAGTGTTGACTGAGAGCCTGTTATGTAGCACATATTGTGCTCGGTGGGTACCAGTGGAGGATACAGAATCATTATTCTGTATAACCATTTCCCTCTAGTTGGGAACCTCTGCCATTATGAGCAGACCTGCAGGACAAGTTCAGAAAAGAAGGCATGGTCTGTGAAGCTGGAGTGCCCAGGAAAGGCTTCATGTTGTCCATAGGACTGGAGGTGGGATTGAGGGGATAGAAAGGTGGAGGCCAGTGGAAGGACAGGTGGGCGGACATCCCAGATGAAGAGAATAACTAGAGGAAAGGCTTGGAGGCAGCAGCCACCTGAGAGAATAGGCTCTGGTGGAGTGGGTAGGAGGGCGAGTCCCGGAGGCTGACTGCCAGGAGGCTTCCCCGCTCAGCCTCTTCAGCCCGTGTGATCTTCGGCCAGTAACAGCCATCTCCCATTTGTTGTGAGGATTAAATGAGCTAATGGGTGTACAAGCACTTGAAAGAATGGTTGGCACAGAATCTGTGCTCAATAAATATGATTAGAAAGGGCTGCCTGACGAAATAAGATTTGCACCCATTCATTTATTCATTTCTGCACAAAATCTTGATTAGGCACCTACTCTGTGTGAAGTCTTGTGCAATGTGAGGTTGCCTGTTTGTGATAGTGTGAGATGTGCTGGGGAGTGCCAGGCAAACACTTCTTATTTGATACACATTTGTTGAGAATCTGCTATGTTTTCGGTATAGAATTAGCTGTCAGGTTGGGACATACCTCACTTGGCAACTGCCTAGTAGACAAGATAGACATGCCCAGCATTTTAGATCAAAGGGCTTTTTCATGCGTTTTCTCCTTCCAGTGAATTATACAGAGAAGTTACATTTAATCCCATGTTATAGGTGAGAAATCTGAGACTCAGGGAAGTTCCGTATCATGCTCAAGTTTACCTGGGAGGTTAACGGCAGAGTCCGGACCCAAGCCTGGTTGTCTCTGCCTCTCTGGCTTCCAGAATTGCAGTAACTGCTTTGGAAGCCAAACAGAGGGACCCAGCCAGGAAATTGCCAGCAACAAGTGATGGGCTTAAAAGCGTATTGAAGAAAGGTTAGTCAGATGTAATGCACAAAATGGAGCAGAGGAGGAGACCAAAACAAGAGACCTGCCCGGAAGCTCCACAGTGAAGCTGGGGGAGGTGAGAAGAGCCTGGACCTGCTTCTCAACTACTCCTGCCCTGTACACCACCCCCCTCCCACTTTCATTTGGAAAGATAACAATGTTATATTCTCTTTGATGCTATTTACAATTTCAAAAGTAGTTATATATTGTGACAAAACCAAAGCAAAGTAAAGAAGAAAAACACAGCTCTGTGTTCAAACACATGCTTTTCCCTCCAAAATTGGCTTCCACCTGGAATTATCATAGATTTTGATTTATCCCTTCCCTCTATTTACCAACTATCCAACACTGTGAGCTACGCTGGCCTATCTTAAGGTGTTAGAAATGGGCATGGATAGAAAAGGATAAATGTGAGGTCCTTCAAAGGCAAAAATAGGAGGATTTTATGATTGACAAAATGGCTAAAGAGGAGAGGAGTCGATGTCTTCAAGTGTTCTAATATATGTGCCTGAAAGGCTTGTTGATCACACTGAGGGTGGTGGAGAGAGTGAGTCAGGGCGTCAGGGCTCAGGTGTGGGTATGATGAGAAGTCACGTGGAATTTGGATGAACATGACAATGACCATCTCTTGGTGAGAAGCCATGTCAGGTGGGCATTCACACGTCACATAGCATTGGGGTGCTTGTCATGGAAACATTGAGAGGGAGACTGGCCTAAGAAGGAGTCAATAGACCCAATTTTTAGAGAAAGTTTCTTGTAGAGTCACATGTGGTAGGATGGGATGAGCCACAGAAACGTCACTAACACCAGGCATTTGTTTAATGGCCCATGCTGTGTTCGTCAAATTCCATCAGAGAGGAGGCACCATACAGGGTTATGGAGTCAAATTTAAAGTCTCTGGGGCTTTGACTCAGAGTTGACATGGAGGTGTGGGTGGAGTGGGGATAATAGTGTTAGAAGAAACAGGACATCATTTTAAATGGAAAAAGCATTGCACCAAGAATCAGGAGATCTAGCACCAATCGTGGGCTTTGGGAAAATTGTTTGAATTCCCTTCATCTCTTCTGTAAATGTTGCTGATAATGATGATGGTGGTGATGATGTTACCATGATGATGATACCTAACATATGTACTTTGTTTCAAAATTTCTTCCAGCGTTAAAAATGTACTATTGTAAACAAATATGTATATTTCCTAATTCCCAGAAAGTACAAGTTTTCATGACTTTTGGAGTATAACCAACTTAGCACTTAGCTAAGTGGAATTTCAGACCCACAATGTTCAGTGGCTAAGTCTAATAAAATCATTCAGCTAAAATTTTTTACTGGGCTGTAATAGCTTCAAACTACTGGCATAATAAATGTGAAGAGCCTGACTTTATGGTTTCAACCTCGCTCCATAGTCATCCTCTTTCATATGATCATATCTACTTTTTAGCACTATCAGTTCCTGAATTTATCTTATTTTAAATTTTGCTTATATGTCTGTTACGTGTCTGCTCTCACTAGAATTAAAGCTCCTTGAAGGCGGAGATTCTGTCTTAATCATTGATGCATAGCAAGTGCTCACTATCTGTTGACTGCTTGATGGGACAGGGCCTCACTAAATGATAGCTAAAATAATCATTATTTCTTAAAATAAAGTCTAAGACACAGAAGGTGCTCATTGCCTGTTTGTTAAAACAAAAGACTTAAAATTAGCAGGAGAAAACAAAACTATTAATATTTCATTTTGACAATGATCATCAGCCTGATTTATATACGAGTGGCAGAGGTTGGAGAAAACAATGAACAGGTCCTGAAGGTCTATCGTTGTGCAAATATCCCATTCCTAGTGCTGTGTGAGTATTAGTTAGAATATTGGTTCCGCCACTGGAGACAGAGATAACAATCACTTAAAAGGACAAGTTTATTTTTCTGTCATGTAAAATGCTGAGCTCTGTGACAGCTCTTCTCCGTGGAGTCAGTAGGGACCCAGTCTTCTTCTGCCTTTTTGTTCTGCCATCCCTGGGGTGTTGCTTTCTTCCATGAGGCCCAAGATGAGTCACCAGTGTGTCTAGCTCTTGGGAAGGGGAAAAGGAAATGGGGGAGCAAAGCCCTGCTGTGTCAGCATATGACTCAGAAGTTGCACACTTTTGCCTATAAATTCCATTGGTCAGAATTTAGTCACTTGATCCTATTTAGCAACAAGGAATCTGCGAGATATAGTATTTATTTGTAGTGAACACTAAAACTCAGAAATTCCATTAGTACAAAAGAAGGGGACAAAAGAAGGGGTGGCTGCTTTTGAGGGACAATTAACAGGTTTTGCACAGCTTAATTTGCAAAAAAAAAAAAGTTTCTAGTAGTGATGAGATACAGTTTTGTTTTGTTTTTTTAAATTTAAGATGGAATAAAATATCTAATTTCTCTTCTATGCAAATATGGAAAGAATCTGTCCTCTAAACTTAAAGAAAGGGAGGAAATAGACATGAATCCTAAATATTTTATCTGTTAATTTAATCTTAGCCACCTAGCTTCCAGGGGTCAAAGTATATGAGAAAGAACTTCTAGAGTAATATAAGTAAATAAAATATAGAGAATAATAATAAAAAAAATTTACTGAGTTTTCTTATATTTATTTTAATCACCTATCACATTTTCCTCTGAACAGACTGCCTTTTCCTCTGAAATCATTTATTTAACCATTTCTTCTCATTTTTAAGGGATACAGTTAGAGTGATACTTTATTCTGATATCTGATTTATCTTCTACTACTAATCCCTTCCTAGAGAAAAGTAGAAAAGCCTGTTTGCTTTGTTACTATCAAAAGTAGTATAAAAAAATGTTTGTAACTGTAAAGCTACATGAAGAATATTTAAACATTATTGACACATTGTAAAACTTGAGAAACAGGTAGTTTTAATAACTGTCATAATCATCTACGGCCACCATAACAAAATTCACAGACTTGGTGGCTTAAACAGCAGAAATTTACTTCTCACAGTTCTGGAGGCTGGAAGTTCAAGATCAAGTTTCCAGCCAACTTAATTTCTGGTGAGCGCTCTCTTCCAGCTTGCAGATGGCCTCCTTCTCAGCGTCCACATATGGCGCTCTCTCAGATGTCTCCTCTCATGATGACGCTAATACTATTGGATCAGGGCTCCATCCTGATGCCTTCATTTTTTCTTATTTGCTTCCTTATTCCAAATACAGCCACACTGGGAGGTTAGGACTTCAGCACATGAAGTGTATGTGTGTGTGTGTGTGTGTGTGTGTGTGTGTGTGTGTGTGTGTGTGTTTGGGGGGCATGATTTAGTCCACAGCGTGCCCTTTTTTTCTGATGAGTCAAGAGGCAAAAATGCTATATGTTCCATGGCTTACGCTTAGTTGAAACCTTTACAAATATGATCCAAATCATCTTAGAGCCACGTGAAATGGATCATAAATACAATGTCTTTAAAGTTGTGAGCTTGGGCTCACATCAAATCTCTGCTTTAGGAAGATATCACCCAACAGTAATGCAATTTTCTGACCCACGTGATTGAAGCGTGCTGAGCTGCTAACCTGGTGTGCCAGGGTGCCTGGCCTGTTCTGTTTTCTAAGGGATTCTTTGGTCTAATAACCCAAAAACCTTCTGCTTACTATTTCCAGCCCCAATTTCACCTTTTTTCTTTCCTCAGAAAGTACAAGATTCCTAGATGTTTATCTGTTTCTCTTTGATGATTTCCTCCTAGTTACGAAAACTAAGCGCAACAAAAAGGTAAAATGCTGCTACTTCTAAATAAATATTTCCAAATAAGTTGTGTTAAAAATGTGAAAGGTTCTTATATGTCAAATTGGAATCCACCTTCTGAAAAATGGAAACATCATAAAATACTGGCTCTTTCAGTCATACAGTTCTGAACTAAAAAAGAACAACAACAAAAGCAAGTTACATTTCTTAAGGATGTCAAAGGATGTGTACATTTTTTAGACGAACAGTTTGTTTACTTTGGAGGTAAGTCCCAGAAGCCACAGAATTTTATTCCTGACCCACCTAACAAATGAAAACAAATGCTTTTGTCCATATTGGCCTTTGCATCATCGAAATTGTCCAACACAGTGAACCCTGCCTGGGGTGGGGTGGGAGACAGCGTTCTCTGAACTGTCTGCTGCTATGTGCTGAGGTGATATCCACCACTCATTCTGATTTCAAAGCTCACATCATTCCTGGAAAATAATGATTTGGGGGTATAGGTGGGAAGAGCACTGATCTCTCAGTGCCCACCTGTACAGAAGAACTACAGAAGCCAAACAAAGTAAAGCTGGCATCATAGACAAATGAGCCAACTGGGGGTTAAAGCCAAAAAATCTCTTAGGAAAACTGGAATGTTTCCCTTTACTTTAGTATTAATGATTACTATTATTGTTGTTGCAAATTAAGCCATGGGTAGTCAGCTGACTAGTTATACACAGAAGTAAGATCATGAAAGTAGATATCTCAAATTTTTTAATAACCTAAGCTTCTAGATGGTATGTTGGTTAATTGAGCTAAATAATGTAAGGATCTTTAAGCAATAAAATAGACACCCATTAATAAGTCTATTAATAGTTGAATGCTCATTGGGGAGGGAGTGGATATTGGAAAATATTAAGAAACACAGTTTTGAAACTTGGATCACCAAGACTAGCATGTTTGAATAAGTCAAGCTCTGAAAAATCTCTATCCCTTTCAAAAACGTTGACACTAAGCACAGCCAACTTCATTTCAAATATGGCTCAAATCTGAGTATATGAATTAATGGCAGCCCATATTCACAGTATTAAAAGGTAATATTCTGGTTTCTTGCTTCACAACTTGATCCCAAAATAAGGAATGTTATGTTTTAAATTCCTTTTTAATTTCCTCTGTCTAATAGATGTGGAGAGTTTTATTGACTTCATAGGCACACAAGTAACCACCGAGAGAAGACATCAGGTTTCACTTACTTTTGGGGGGGAAGAAAAAGGAATGTTATCTGTTTTAAATCTCTCTTTGCAATTTAATGCACAATATATGTCACAACCTTTGGCACCTATTTTTAAAAATTCAACATCTTATATATTCAAGACAATTTCAATTACTTACAAGTTATAGAGCATGGACTCTTTAGACTTTAGTATTTGATCCCATGGACAGAGTTGGCCAAAACAAGGGTCCCCTTTCTCATTCATCTCACTCAGTACTATAAAGAGATACTGGAAAAGAAGAGCTTCCAATTGATATGATGGTGATTAAAATGTTTCCCAGTTGTAGATGTCACACATTATTTATTCAGGTAATTAAACTTGGGTATCAGAAACACTATGCTTTAAATCATTATGTACTTTGGGAAAATGCCTTTCAAGATCCAGAAAATGTAATAAGCCGGATTTCAAGCAATTGCTTCTAAAAATCAATTTGCTTAAGGATGCACTTTAGGTATCTGCAACAATACTTATTTCTGATTTATTGCATTGTTTTTCTCTCTCATTTCAGAAAGGTGGAGGTTCAGACACCAGTTTAATATACCCTTCACTTACTGCTGAGCTGCAAACAGTAATAAAAGAGGGTGGTTCCTGTATGGTCCTCGATCAGCCCATTCCACTCGACAGATTGGTAGTCAAAAGTATTGATCCACTCCACGTGTCAGGTATGTGTCAATTTTCATTGTTCAGTTTATCTGTTTGCCATCACAGTTTTATATTGGCCTTTTTTGGTAACAGCACATAAATTCAATTTAAGTTTTCATGAAAGATAATACTGAGTTCCTATGCGACTGTATATCACTCACTCCACAAATTAGCTATGGAAAAACCGTTGGACTTGGTTTCCAGTGCTTGCATGACTCAGCTCTGCCACTTGCTAGCTATGTGACCAAAGGTAAGGCATTTAAATTTTCTACACCACAGATTCCTCTTGGTAAAATACAGATATTTATGTCAGTGGGTTATCATGAGAATTAAATGAAACAACTCACATAGAGCACTCAATAAAAGATAGCTATTTTTAGTATTATATTATATTATATTAACTACATTATATTATATTTATTAATACTATTGCTATTGCTAAATCACTGGTACACCACCATGTGCTATGCAGGCCTGAGATATCTTATTATGATAGCTCTATAGAAAGAAATATGCCAAAAATAATATCTATAAATATACATGTATACATATTTACATATACATCATGTGTATAGGTCAGAAATATACATTATTTTTATTCATTTTTTAGCATTCCCTGAATGCCTAATGAGAACCAGGCACTCTGCGGGTGCCCCAGAGTGGCAAAGATGACTAAGAAATACCCCTTGTTTTGGAGGAGCTCTCAGAACAATGAAAGATCAGTAAATCCTGGGGGAGATCCAAGATGGCAGAGTAGATAAACACTGTGCCTGCTTCCTCTGTGAACACATTAAAATTACAACTAAATTACAGAACAATCAACCTGGAGAACCATCTGAAGTCTGGCTGAACAGAAATTTTATAACTAAAGATATAAAGAAAAAGTCAAGACTGGTAGGAGAGGAGGAGACACGGAACTGGCTAACCCCAAACCTCCAAGTGGCAGTTAAGAATGGGGAGGGACATCTCAGCCATGGAGGTTCTCCCTAGAGGAGCGAGGGACCCCCAGCTCCACACCAGCCTCCCTAGCCCGGGGTACTCGTGCCAGGAAGACAAGCCCCCACAACATCTGGCTGTGAAAAACAGTGGGATTCTGACCATTTGGTGGGATGGAAGGCTGGGGGAAACCCAGCCAGCCTTTTAAACAGCCTGTGCACAGACTCTCTCACTCACAGGCACTCACCTTGGGATCCAGCAGAGGGATGGTAACTAGCGGAGTGTCAGAGACAATATGGGGGGCAGACTGAGGTGTGTGGCCTCAGGATGAGAGCTGGAGGACAGCTGCCATTTTCTTGTGAGGAGGTCCTCCTCCCATGCAGCTGGCAGGCAAGCACCATCTTTAATATGTTGAGCCTGCCCCTTACGCATATAGCCAAATCTGAATCTGATTGGCCTGGTGAGCTCTGCAGCTCCACCCTGCTGACTCAGCTGGCACCCCACCCCAATAAACTACTCCAATGCTGGAGGCACTTTCCCAAGAGCAGCCAGCCCCACCTGCATTGCACTTTTTCTTGGAAAACTATCAGAGTCCTACAGGCCCCAAGCAGGTGGCTACTGGCCTTGGTGTGCTCTGAGACTTTTGCTGAGTCATCTCACGCTCAGCAATGGTACCAAACCTGATGACCACAGCTCTTCTCACTCTAGTGACTCCCTAAGACTCTGCCTCACCCAACTTGCATACCGCACGAGGCTTTATCAATGGTTTAATCTTAAGGCAGCTGGCAGATGGCAGCAGGCCTTGGGGTGTCTTGGAATTTTGTGGAGATACCCCAAGGCCCGGTACTGGTGGCAGACATCCTCAGTTTGCAGCATCGTCTCTCCCATGTGCCTCCTGGTTTAGCACAGGCAGTGAAAAACCACGGATCACTTTGTAGCTCTTACCAAGTAGTCCCTAGCCAGTCACAGGCAGTGGGTGACCAGAGCCTGCACCAGAGCCCCTCAAAAGAAGCACCAGAACCAATATACCTGGATGCTGGCTTCAGACCACAGCAGAGCACTGCCCAATTAGCCCATAAGCAGTACACCCAAAGGACAGTCTCAATAGACACCAGAACCCACTGGGGCTAAACCCACTCAGTGGAGTAAGCCCACTGCACAGAAGCCTGTAAGCTATAGATGTGGCCAAACCCACTGCCAATCAGGCTGAGAGTTAATACCACCCACTGACATGCCAACAGCAATCAAGGCACAACTATAACAGAAGGACACACACAACCCACACAAGAGATGCTCCTGGAGCACCCAGAGCAGGTGACTAAGGAGACTTTGCCAGGGCCCCACAGGGTACTTACTAGAAAAGGCCACCTGGCCAAGACTGGCGGACATAGCAGATCTACCTAATACATAGAAACAAGCAGAGAGGCAGCCAAAATAAGGAAACAAAGAAATACGTCCCAAATGAAAGAACAGGAGAAATCTCCAGAAAAAGAACTAAATGATATGGAGGCAAGCAACCTACCAGGTACAAAGTTCAAAACAATGGTTATAAGGATGCTCAAGAAACTTAGTGAGAACTTCAACAAAGACAGCAAGCATAAAAAAGGACATAGAAACCATAAAAAAAAGAACCAGTCACAAATGAAGAATACAACTGAAATGAAGAATGCACTAGAAGGAATCACCAAAAGACTAGATGAAGTGGAGGATAAAATCAATGACTTGGAAGACAAGGTAGTAGAAAACACCCAATTGAAACAGGAAAAAAAAAAAAAAGAATCCTCCCCAAAATGAGGATAGTTTAAGGGACCTCTGGGACAACATCAAGTGTAACAATATTTGCATCATAAGAATATCAGAAGGAGAGGAGACAGCAAGGGATTGAGAACCTATTTGAAGAAATAATGACTGAAAACTTTTCTAACCTGGTGAAAGAAATAGGCATACAAGTCCAGGAAGTGCAGAGAGTTCCAAACAAGATGAACCCAAACAGGCCAACACCAAGACACACTGCAATTAGAATGGCAAAGGTTAAAAACAAAGAGAGAATCCTAAAAGCAGCAAGAGAAAGGCAACTAGTAACTTATAAGAGAGCTCCCATAAGATTGTCAGCTGATTTCTCAACAGGAACTTTGCAGGCCAGAAGGGATTGGCACAAAATATTCAATGTGATGAAGAATAAGGACCTACAACCAAGTTTACTCTACCCAGCAAAGCTATTATTTAGAATTGAAGGACTGATAAAGAGCTTTCAGACAAAAAAAAAAAAAAGCTAAAGGAGTTCATCATCGCCAAAACAGTATGACAGAGAATCTTAGGACTTCTTTAAGATTGGGGGGGGGGGATCAAAATTATGAATAATAAAATGGCAATAGTTACACATCTGTCAACAATTACTTTCTTTTTCTTTTTTTTTTTAAGATTTTATTGGGGAATTGGGAGAGGGTCAACAATTACTTTCAATGTAAATGGATTAAATGCTCCAATCAAAAGACATAGAAGGGCTAAATGGATAAGAAAACAAGACCCTTACATATGCTGCCTACAAGAGACTCACTCAGATTGAAAGTCACACATACAAACACAGAAAGTAACAGGATGGAAAAAAATATTTCATAAAAAATGGAAATAAAAAAATAAACAAAAGCTGGGGTAGCAATAATTATACCAGACAAAACAGACTTTAAAACAAAGGCTATCAGTCCCACTTCAGGATATTTATTTGAAGAAACCCAAACACTACTTCGAGGGGGCGTGTGCATCCATATGTTCATTGCACCATTGTTTACAATGGACAAGGTGTGGAGGCAGCCTGGGTGTCCATCGATGGAAGAATGGATAAAGAAGAGGTGGTACTTACATACAATGGAATATAGCTCGGATAGAGAAGGGAATGGGTTCTTGCCATCTGCAGCAGCATGGATGGACCTGGAGGGTGATGTGCTGAGTGGAGTGTAAGACAGAAAGACAGATGCAATGAGATTTCACTTATATATGGAATCTAAAGAACAAAATAAATGAAAAAAATAAACGTATAAAACAGAAACAAACTCACAGATACAGACATACTGGTGGTTGCCAGGTGGGAGGGGAGTTGTGGATGAGTGAAAAAGGGAGAAGGGATAAAGCAGCACAAACGGGTAGTTATAAAGTAGTTATGGGGACGCTTCATAAGGGTATTTCATAAGAAATAGAGTCAATAATATTGTAATAACTATGTACGGTGTCAGATGGGTACTAGATTTGTTGGGGTGATAGATGGAAGAGGTTTGGGGGCAGGGTGTAAAAGGCAAAGGGAGTAAGAAGTGTAAGCTGGTAATTACAAAATAGTCACAGGGATTAAAGTAAAGCACAGGGAATATAGTCAATAATATGGTAATAACTATGTGTAGTGCCAGGTAAGTACTAGACTAGTCAGGGGGATCACTTTTTAAATTAAACAAATGTCTAACCACTATGCTGTACACATATTAATATGAAATTAATATAAAATAATATTGAATATCACTTGTAATTGAAAATTTTTTAAAGGGGGGGAAAAGGTGAAGAGGAATAAAAGGCCCAAGTTTCCAGGTATAAAATAAATAAGTCATGGGGATGTAATGTACAGCATGGGGAATATAGTCAGTACTATTGTGATAGTGTGTCATGGTGTCAGATGGTTGCTGGACTTACCATGGTGAACACTTCTTTAGGTACATAAATGTTGAATAAGTATGGTGTACCCCTGAAACTAATAGAAGGTTGTATGTTAGCTATATTTTAATAAAAATCTTTTTTTTTTTAAATGTCATGAAAGCCCTGGCACTCAAGGGACTTACAGGACACTGTGGTCTCCTCAATGCTGGGTGGTGGTGGCAGTGTTCAGAAGGAAGCAGAGGGTCATTTTGCCCTGAGTATAGGCTCCCAGGAGACCCGCTGAAAACAGCAGGAGGGGAGCGCTTTTCTGTCCCAAGGGAGGAGCAGGAAAAGAGGGAGCACTAGCAGCCCAGAGTGCAAGTGACTGGCATAGGACCGACCTACACATAACAGCAACCTTACATATTGAGTGAATGAATGAATACACAAACTAATAATAGTAGAAAACATTTACATTGTTATGGTATATAACTTATATATAAATTATATATTTAAATATATATATATATAAATTATATATTTAAGTGTTTTACATATGTTAATGTGTGAATGGATACATTCTTCCCAAGAGTAGAAGGACCCTACCAAGGGGAATCCTGCATCCAGATCCAGGGCCTTCTGTCTCCTTTGTCTGTTCTACTTCCACTAGGATTCACTGAAAAGTGCCCTGGGCAAGCCCTCAGGCCTGGTCTGGCTGGAACCAATCACGGCTTATATAGGCCAAAGCCCACATCAGCTGGAGAGCATTTCAGTAGCGAGCCCTAAAAGGGGAATCTCAGGGGGGCGAAACCTTTGCCTGGGAGGGCACCCCCCGACCCCCAACCCCACAGACTCAGTAGATGGCAGCACAGTGCAGATGGCCGTGACTCAGTATGTGAAGCCCAGAAATCACTTCCTTTTGTTTACTTTTTCAGGGGAGAAAATGTCATAGCGGAGGGCATCGTAGGCAGGATTTTTTTCTCACTCTAGTGGCCATAGTTAGAAGATTCTGGCATGATAAATGGACTCGAAGGGAGGAAGTTGCCAGAACCCCACGTGGAAGACTGGCAGCAGCTCGGGCTCAGTTTAGCCACGGTCCTGCCAGCTTTACGAGCTGGACTTTATGGGGAATCTGACATCACTGGATTACCTTGGAAAATATATATTTATTTCACCTTTATTCCTTTAAAAAAAATAAGAGAAATGCATTTTTATAACTATACTTCCACCTTTTTTTGGTTATTTTTTGATTTGTCACTATCATCACTTGTCTCTTTCTTTTTTTAAATATTTTTCCTATTCCTCTGCTCTGTTATTTTACTGTTAAGATACAGTGCATGAGGCAGAATAGCCATAGAGTAAGAAAGAATAAAGGGCAGAAAAAAGAAGAGGTTGAGCCGAAGAGTGACAGAGACCTGGTTTCAGATCCTGGCTATATCACTTACTGTGTGATCTTGGAAAAAATTAATCTAAATCTGTTTCATTTGTAATTGGGAATTAGCTGACCCATCTTACACAGTTGCTGTGTGGTTTAAATGACACAAACAAACAAGCAAACACATAGCACAGTGCCCAGCACATAGTAAGTGCTTAGTAAATGGTGTCAATTATTATATTAGAATGTCAGGGGGAAAAAGAGCAATTCCTGATCACGCATTATCTTCTTATTTTGTTATACAAGCCTAGGCACACAAGGTCCTTTTGCTTATAAAGCCCCTTGTACTTATATTACAAACCAAACAAATGAGGGGCACCTTGAATAACTAAGAACTACAGTTACAATTTTTGAGGAAAATGGATTCCAACATCCAGCCAAGAACAACTTGATCTTTAAAGCTTCACTTGTTACAGGGAATTTATAAGAAGGAAAATCAGGGAATAAAACAAACACAGCAAGATCTTTTTTTCCAGGAAGTAATTTTAATAGGTTTAAAATGAGAGGACTCACCTCAAAGAAGCTGGGCAGAATTTCATGGCCTTCACAGACTTTGTTGTGGTAGGATTTAGGAATTATGAGGTTTAAACTGTTATAAGTATAATTTGTGTTACTGGAATAGTTCTTGCAATTTAAGAAAACAAAAGTGTTACATTCACTTCAATTTTGAAATGAGGCCCAACCTGCCTCAGTGAGTCTGAGTTAATCCCACAAATTCCAAGGAACAGAAATAAAGATGGTGGACAAGCATCAGCGTAATGATCAGCCAGGAAAAAAAGAGCACCTTCATCCTCTCTGAAGTAGCTGACATGACCAGGAGGCAACCCTGGTTGGGTTTTTTGGTTTGTGCCTCAACATAAATCAACTGTAGAAAGAATGTATAGGCGGCAGAATTTTATTCCTTGTGTTGAATAAATAATTCAAGGAAGAAGCTTTCATTTTAAGAGCTCCTGCTCCAAGAAGAAAGCAGTCTGCTCTCCCAGGGTCTCCCAGCATCATTTCTTTCAGAAATCAGCTAGGAGATGGCAGAGCAGGCTGTTTCTTTTGCAGACACAGAAACCAGGCCAATGTTTCTTCTGTTTTGTTTTACATTTCACATATTTTGGTGAATGTTGGATTTGATTTAAATTTTTTGGCTTTTCTTGGCCTGTTGTGAAGCATTTAGATGTTTTTGTATTTTTGCCACATCTTAATTTGCTTATAGCCCTTGTTTTGATGTGACTTCCCTCTAAATACAAAAATTAAAACACTTTAAAAAGGAGTGGTGTGGGGTCAAAAATGAAACAATAATTCCACTATTTTGCATACTTTTATTATCTATATTTTATACACACAAAATCTACGTAATATGCTAAGCTTCTACCTTGAGGAGGAGCCCATTTTCCATCACTTACGCCATAACTGCATTTCATCAAGTCCCGGAAGTTGTTAGGGGAGAAAGGGTTTTCCTGTTTAAGCAGGCTCTACTTGGATATAGTAGGGAAGTCTTGGTCTTGGAATCAGGCATTTTTATTTTATTTTTTGTAATCTACATAAACTTTCTACCTTCATTTAAAAACAAACAAAAATCTCCAGGCTCTTTGAGAAGAACTGAGCAACTATTTAGATTTCATGTGATATGATTTGGTTTTTTGTCTTTGGAATCTTTTTCTAGTCTTTGGGCTGAGAAACGCTTTCCTTATTCAACATGAAAACAGATATCGACAGTGCATAGCAGCGTTCTTATTACAAGCCCAAACGGAAAACATCAAAGTATGTATTAATATTTCAATTTTGTAGGTTTTGATTCTTCAGACTTGACATAAGGAAAACTCTCACCCCAAGCTTAAGTAAAGGTGAATGGAGAGATTTGCATATTTCCCTTGCCAGCTTTGGGAAGGGCAGAAGTTGGGAGGAGGGGAGAGGTTGGACATCTAGTCCATATCATGCTCAGAAACCTCAAGGTGACCATTTCCTCACACTGGCAGAGTTGGCACAGCCTCCCTCATTTTCTCCTGGGCAGAAGCTCAAGAACGGCTTCTGAGTTCTCCAGTTTCTGTATGAAATGGGGGAAGGATTGCTTTGGATTGCATGGTTGACTTTTAAGATGCTGCAATCAATTTCCAAAGGCCCTGTATGCAAATAATGTGATGTCAACTTAAGTGAGAGGCTGCTGCTATAATGAACCATGTCAAGTCTGCTCTTCAACCTTTGAAAATATGTCACTGTGTTTACAGCATTAGAGTTGAAGAGCAGCTGCCTTTCTGACTCTGGTTTCTCTTAGAAGTTTCCCCTTTTGTCTTTCCTCTGGTAGGCTTTCATCATAGCAACAAGATGGCCAGGCAATAAATGCAATATTCCATTCTTGTTAAGGACTCCATTTCCTGGGTCACCTCCCTCAGTCTGTTTTTCAAATTATACCATTGGTTAAGAATTTCTGTTTCCACACAAAACAGGAATTCAACATTCAAGCTATTTATATTCTTAGTGCTCATTTTTCTAATTAGTCATCATTGATTATTATGGTTCTTTGATTACTCATGACTGTTTATCCCACTTGCATATCACAGTCATTTAATCCATTTGAATTTTCATATATGATTAAAGATATTTATGATATATTAGATGTAAGGAAGAAAACAATAAATATGCAAATGTTTCATTAGTCATCCATTTTAAAGAGCAAGTCGATATATACAAATGAAAATATTAATCCAAATATGTGAGAAATTGCCATTAACATTCTCCTCTCCCCTGTGTATGTGTGTGTATATTTATCTATTTATTTATTTTACAGAAAACATGGATTACACAAATAACAGCAGCAATCTCTTGCTTCACCAAGAATCAGGAAATCAAGAAAATATCTTTATTCACCTCGCCTGTAGAATCCCCTGAAATTTAGGGACTTTAAACAATCTTTTTAGACACGAGGGATTAAGGTATTCTTTCATGCAAACTTTCGTTAACACTTAATGATGAGATAGAAGGAAATGTGTATTTTAAAGGAGTTCCAGAATTTGAGAATTTGAGCTAGGAAAATCTTCAGTCTAGAGGAATAATGACTGCAACAAATTTGAACTTGGAGGAATTTCTCGGCAAGTGTGTACTGATATCCAGATTACCTTACAATGTTTCAATTAGGCTTACAAGAGGTGTGAGTGAAGGGTGGTGCTATTATATTTGTATACGGTTAAGCAATCAGATAAATGGGAGTGGAGGAGGGAAACGCTGCTTGTGTCCAATATAAATTACAGAATCTTTGTGTATATCTATAATGAACTCAACTTTCCTGCGTGGCTTGTAAATCAGTCTTGCTGCTTTACAGTCCTACCTCACACATAATGATAATTCTTTTGATACAAGTTTGATTGCTATTTTAATATATTAAACAATAAATGAGGTCTACATTTTAATAGCAGTTTTGAAATTCCTATTCTCCAACAGTTTACTTACCTCAGGTATAATTCATAATACTCTAACATGGAAGTAGAAAATCCCAATGACTAAATTCCATTATTTTAAGAAAGAAAAAGCAAATATTTGTTCGTTTCACAAGTTAACACTTGTGCATGGGGTATTATATTAGGAATAGTAAGATACATTTCGCTATACCTCACTTTTTGAAGAACGATGGAGTTTGGCATAAAACTACTTTCTGGTTTGGGGTGTTTATGTGTGTGGTTTAACATAGTACAGCCACTTAATTTTATTAGGCAGGACTTGAAACGTCATTAGAATTTTTATTAAGAAAGGCAGCTTGAAGTATTATGTTATCATGATGGAATATACTATTAACTACATTTAAGGAACCAGTTCTTATGGTCAGGTTATATCAAATGGAAATTCACAAATTTCAATTTCAGCCATGGTACCTTGTAGTCAATATATCACCTTGGGCTGCAAGACAAATGATACCTTAACTGAGCTCTTTAAGTTGGAGAAGGGGATAGAGAGGATGAAGCTTGAGGAAGTCATGTGTACAGTTAATTCTTTGAGGAAAATGCAAATTTCACCATGCAAACCAGGCAGTACAGACGAGTACTGCACCAGGGCTCTTGTGCAAAGGCCGAGCGCTGTTCTAACGGAGGGTCATAGTCTCTGTGTGATACCGGACACTTACAGGAGTAAGTGAAGATAGAAGGAAAATCTGGAAAGCCATAACTACTTTTAATATCTAAAAATAACTGAAAAAAAGAGACAAAGAAAGGGAGAAGAGACTTCAAATGAATTCTTAGAGATGGGACTTGGATGAGATTGAAAACAATTCATGTTTAGGAGAAGACAAAACAGACTTATTCAAGAGAAGATTCAGAGAAAACATTCTGGTCAAAAAATAGCGCGCGCGCGCGCGCGCGCAAACACACACACACACACACACACACACACACACACACACACACACACACACACACGGTGCCCAAAAAATGTATACACGTTTTAAGAAAGGAAAAAACTATTAATTTTAATACTCAACATATACCAGTAACAAAAGATGAATAGAAGTCACGCTTGACTTCTGCAATTACAAGAGGTGCTCAAAGTGGTTACCATCAGCATCCAGACACTTCTGATTATGGTGAACTACTGCTTGAACAACACTGACCAAAGCGTCCACTTGTATACATTTTTTAGCACCCCTGGTGTATGTGTGTGTGTGTGTGTGTGTGTGTGTTGTTTGTGTGTATGTGTGTATACATATATATGAAATTAACAATCATTTTGCAGGGATTTTTACATATAAGCCAACTTAGAAGGGGGACAATGAACTAGGATTAGGCGATCTCTCACAATTCCTTTAGTTTCATGAGTCCAATAACCATATATTTATCAGTATAAAGGACTAATTTCTCTCTAAAATGTCATTAAAGGGAGAGAAAGACTAGCTAAATTAACATCCAGAATGTAAACAGCTTAAGAATATGCTATATACAAAGAAATATTAGCACTCCTATGCAATAGACAAGATGTGGGAAAAACCTTCATGTCCATTGACATGGATAAAGAAAATGTGGTATATATGTGTAGAATGGAACGCTATTCAGTCTTAAAAGAACGAAATTCTGCAATATGCAACAACATAGATGAACCTTGAGGACATTATGCTAAGGGAAATAAGCCAGTCACAGAAAGATAAATATTATAGTATTCCCTTATACAACGTATCTAATAACAGTCAAACTCATAGAATCAAAGAATGAAATGGTGGTTGCCAGGGCCTGAGGAGAGAGGGAAATGAGTTACTATAATCAATGGGCATAAAGTGTCGGTTAAGCCAGAGTAAGCTCTAAAGAGCTGCTGTCCTGTACACTTACACTTAAAAGGGTGTCACAAGGGTATATCTCATCGGGAGTGTTCTTCCCACAGTAAAATAAAATTTTAAAAAAGAATATGCTATGTATTTAGTATAGAATTCTATACTACTCACAAAAGAACATGCCTAATACGTAATATATTAAGTGCTTGAGAACATATACAGGAACCTCTTCAGAAGGAAGCACACTAGAATAAAATTAAAAAGCACTTCTGAAACTTTGGTTCCCAGGGTGGGTAAAGAAAAGTAAAAACAATGGTACATTGAGCCTTCACAAATGTATCTTTAAATGGTCACCTGGGTACTAAAATTAGATATACAATGAAAGAAGGGATTAATTTAATATCGTTTAATATTTTTTAGTTTTGTAATTCTCCACAATAACAAATGGAATGAAAAAAGGAATGTCTCAAGCAAAATGGCATTAGTAGTTTCTCTTGAAATTATGAACTTAATTACTATTCTAAGCTGAACATTAAAGCATACTCACTGTCTATATCCAAGTGCGAAGTTCTAACATTCTGTAATAAATTAATGCAAAATGGTTAATATCTTGCTCTTTTTTAAATAAACAAAATAATTTAGTCACAGAATACATCTACTAGAAAGAAATGTTTTTTAATATCATCTTTAACATATTAAAAAAAGCAACAATTCAATAAGGATCCTTCCATTGTTCTTTATACAGATTTAAATGCTGTCATGTAATTTATCAGTTACATTTATCATCAATAACCTTCCAATCACTGAGTTTAGAAATTACAGTATTTACTGAGCTTAACTCTCTCACAAAATAAGGCACAACTACATGATCACAAGTAGTAAACACAATACAAATAATGAATCCAGAAACCAAATGAGGAAACATTCATGCAAAAATATCTACAGAAGATATGAATATATGATCCAGTTCCAAGAAGTATAGAATGTCATATACATAACTGCATCATGGTACAATAAATTCATTACTTCTACACAGAAAGAACTTAGCTACTTTCAATTATATTTTATATAATTTTACATAAATTTAGTCAGTTTATGCACAATATTCACAGCTGCAACAATAACAAATTGATAGTTAAAATTCAGGCAAAGGGCAATTAAGACACCATAATGTGTGGCACATTATAATTACAGAATACCATTCATCAAGCTCATGTATAGGAGCACTAAATTGATGGCACATTTATATCTTACGGATCAAGTCATCCATGGTTTTATAGCCAAAGTGCATTAAAAAAAAACTGCTATAGTCAAATAGGTCATGAATATCAAAATATATGATCATAATTTGCTCTCTACTTAAAAGCTAAACATTTTTATGCAAATGCACATAAAAAAAAGTGGCTTTAAAGTTCTCAAAACTATAAAATAATCATAAAGCCTTTTTAAGAGGATTGGGAAACTAACAAATTTGGCAGTTACTATTTAACATTACTGTGAGGAAACTATTAAACCAGCTAATTCCACATTAAGAGGTAGTTGAACAAAATGTTATTTGTACACTGCTTTGAGGTTTTTGTGTTTGTTTCCCTCTCTTTTCTTCAAAATGAACAAATCCCATACCAGCTGCTTTGTCGTCTATTAAAAAAATTCCACTGGTATAGTCTGTTGTACACGAACCCAGCAACACTTGATTTCAGCTCACATTTCTGTGCTGGGATTTGGAATTAACTAACACGTGGCGCAGATATGCTTTGTGTTAGAGCTGAGAGCTGGGACTCCTACGAACTCCAACTCACTGACAAATAGTACCAGCAGACATCTAAAATGTAGTCAATAAGGACTCAAAAGATGGCACTTTTAGTTAAAAGAAAAAGAAAACCCTTTAATTTTTGTTTCCAAAACACCTTAAATTGGTGAGTTAACAACAAAAGTATTAGGTCTCATTTCTACTATTATTAGTATAATAACCCATGGTAAGTTACTCAGGGTTTATGAAATGAGATTTGCTAGATGGAAAGTAGAAAATCACTCAGACACATATAGTTTTATTTGGTGTCCCCTCAATTTTTTTTTTGTATGTGGGGGCAGGGATGAAGGGGAAGGCCTTCAGTATGCACAATTAGGAGATGAAGTGAACAAATATTCTAATCTAGAAGAATTCTCATGAAGTTTTATTATTTTAAAAGAATAAACAGTGGTGCTATGAATATCTGTTGTTCCAACACATTTATTAAGTCACTTATATGTAAGTGCAGAATTAAGACTATTTGAAAGGATTTATAAGTATATGAAAATGAATACATAATTTTAGTTCAATTTATATTATCCAAGTACTATTTTTAATAAAGAGTCACTGTATTTCTTCATTATATATGCTAAAAGATATATGTTTATCCAAGTCCAGGGCTTCAATCAGGGTCCTTAATAACTACTAACAACAGAGTTTACTTAAATGCGTTTTTTTAAAAATAATTAAATGAATATGTGGCAATCGCTTTTAGTTTATATATGCTGTAGGCACAGCATATATGACAATTTCATTTCAGCATATTTGAAAGCAAGTATATATTATAAACTATTTTAAATGAAAAATTAACTCCTACCCTTTCATGCTATTATTACCAAATGACTGTACTGAATAAATGTATAACTTTACATTTCTTCTCTAGAAAGAGTAATAAGCCAATATTAATGACTTCTCTCTTCAGATGTTTTCCAATTCTCCAAATTAATAAGACTATGATAATTTAAAGTTGAATTTCATTGTTCAGCATACAAACAAGCTAATTTTAAATTATCTTTAATCAAACATTCTATTTCAGTTCAGATTATAACTTTGGGATTCCTAAATACATTTTTTTTTGGTGAAACTCTACTCTCCAGCTGTTACGTCAAAGTAATTTCACAGCATTATTTTTGCAAAGTAAAAATGGATAATGGAACCCCAAATTAAGAATTGTTTTAAATTTATAACTTTTACAAATTCTTCCCCATTAGGTAAGAAGAAAATATTAAGTAGAATATTTAATGTCTCCTTACCATTTTGTATTTTGTTTTCAACAGATAAAACTATTGCAATAGCAATAGTTACTAGCTTTAAGATGCAAAAATTATAAAACAATTACAGTGAAGCTGAGCTGTGCCTGGGAAGGTTAAAACAAATAAAGGTAAAAAGCAGATCCATTAAAAAAAAAAACAAAAAAAAAAACTTCGGATTCCTGAAGACCTGGTGAGACAAAATGAAGGGATAATATGAAGGCTAATCTCAGCAGACTCCCCATTGATAAGAAACTGAGAACAGGACCATTATGCAATTTCCATTACTCATCTTCCAAGTGGAGGTGCGTGTGGGAAGCTTTATAGGACTCTTAATGGAGAATATGTGGGAGTTTAAAAATAATGTATAAAAAGAGGGGAAAAAAAAGAAAAATTAACCCTAATCTTTAAAATATAATCCCAGGATAACCATAAATTAAGCAAATTGGTATTACAGATGTTTTCATAAAATCCATCCAAGATAATTAAATCAGTATTGTTACACCAAAAACAATGTTTGGGTTCTTGGTTAATATATATTTCAATACAAATTATGTTTAGAACACGTGAGTAGTAAATGTATAACATAACAATGGAACAAAGGTATGAACCTGTATATAAGAAAAAAAGTCAGAAAGTTTTATAGTTCTGTGCATAATTTCACAAATTGAATATTTAATATATCTAATGTGTTACTGTACAACATAAATGAGGTGATAACATCATTCATGTACATTTCTGTACACTAAATTTGGGAGAAAGAAGAAGTAAGCTATGGACATATATTCATGTGATTTGTTAACAGTGAAATTAAATTTAAAAAAATACATTGCTATTTTCTGTCCAAAGTTTATTTACATTTCATTGGCTAATTCTAGACTTGGCATGAAAGCTGTTTCAGGGGTTAAATGGAAAAAAGTAATGAAAGATGAGCCCAAGTCTCACAAAAATAGAAGAGTTTTACTTGATATTGATAACATTCCAAAATATATGAATTCTAAGTTGGTCTAGTATTGCAACCACTTCCAAATCAAATAGTAGTCCAAGACCTCTATTAAGTACATTTATTAAAAATCTAATGTTAGTGTAATATTACTCTGGAGTTGTAATAACCATTATCCTTGCAAGTCATTGAAACATGCATCACAGACACGAACAGGCTTCTTGGAAGAAGGAGTTAAGGCATTTTTGGCTGAACACTCAGCACAGAAGATATTTCCACATTGTCTACAGTGATGCTGTAAATGACAAAATTAAACAACTTTAAGCATAGAAACTACACCAGACACATTATGAGACTACAAGAATATTGCAAACTGCACTGTGAAGGTATATTAACTTTCAAGTGATTAGTGTATTATTTAATAATATAATATTTTCATACATAAATTTAACCCCTTAAACTGAATGCTTCCTATTAATCAGATACTATGCTAAACATTTAATATGGATTTTATCATGGAATTCTCAGAAGAAACAGGAGGCTTTTAAAAGTGTTAATAAAGTACCTCTATCAGGTGAAAAACTATTACTATTTGCCAAGTGTTTCAGTCATCATTTCTTCAGTAGGAATATAAACTTGAAACATCACATGGTGGTATTATTTAGAATAATTTTTTTTTTTAATTTCGGCTTTTTCTTCCTTTAAAGCAGTGGTTCTCAACCTGTCGGTCGCGACCCCTTTGGGGGTCGAACGACCGTTTCACAGGGGTCGCCGGGTACTTTTGTATGTGGGCATATCTGCATGTGAGCCTGGAGACGGACAGAGGAGCGGTGTCTCGGTTCCTAAGACCATTGAAAATATGTGTTTTCCAATGGTCTCAGGCGACCCCTGTGAAAGGTTGAGAACCACTGCTTTAAAGGAACCCGATGATGACTAAAACATATGAGTTTAATACTGGCACACTGATTCAGAAAACGATTATTCCAGAAAGCAACTTAGTAAGAAGACAACAACTGAATTTAAAACTAAAATTGAAACATATATGGTAACCAGAAACTAAATTGCATGAAATTTAATTATTCTATATAGTTGTAAATTAACCAAAATATGGGAAAATTTTTTAATCTGTCAAAATTTATTTTTATGGTTAAAACATTCATTGTCATTGAGGAACAGAATCCAGAACCACAGCAATATAAACAAAATCATTTACCCGTCTCACTGTTACAGAAAAGCCTTTCCCACAGGCCATACAGTTTTGTACTTCATTGTCTTCAGCCCACTTTCTATTCAATGCTTGTGTATGTTTGATCTAGTAAAAAAAAATTTCAAAACATTATAATATTCAATGTTTTAAAGAATGATGGATACTTTGTAATTTGGTGCCTGAGTTTTACAAAATTTTGACTATATGCACCACGGGATAAAATTTAAAAAATCAGAAATACTTTAGTCAATTTCCATTGTCAAAAACTGCTACATTCTTAAATCTGAATGACAAATCAATCAATCATTCAATCCAATCCAATCTTATTCCTCAAAGGGATCAGTAATTTGTAACCTTTGGTGATTTCCCACCCATCCTAATCCTAATGATCAATCCTTCCTTTGGACTCTGAGCACATATCCAGATCATGTCTTCAACACATAGCAACTCCTCTATTCCTTGGTGCACTTGCCAGTACTGACAATTCACAAATGACATAACTCTCTACCTAATCCCTGGAGTCTCTCAGACAAGTTCTTTCCCTCTTATATTTAATTACCCAAAATACCTATAAAACTGCTACATACACAGTAGCAACTCAAAAGTGTTTATTAAATATATGAGGGGTTTATTTGTTGTTGTTTTTTTAAGGTTGAAAATATGCTTTTTACTAAGAGGTAAATGCTAGATTAAAAAACTGCCATGTGACTCACTTGAAGGGACTGATTTTCTCTGCCCAGCTCCTGCACTGCTGCAGTTGTATTATCCAGCTTTCTTTGCAATTCTAGTACTTTGGTTTGAAGCTTTTCTATTTCACCTTCTCCTTTAAGACATCTAGAATAGATTGCAAAGAGATAATTTTTTAAAATTTATTAAAGAACACAGATAATGAACTACTTTAGTAAGTTCAAATGTAATACATTAATTTCAACTATTGATTGTCTTAAGGATTAGTTTTTAAATGGCTACTTAAATTCCTGTAGGCGCTATGCACGTTTATCAAGACTTTTCTATTTTAATAAAATGTGGAATCTGACAATCTTTTTCTCTCTTAGAATGAAAATAGATTAATTTTACTAGAATCAATTACCTTTCTAGTAGTGCTCTCCTTTCATCCTGATTGTTCTGAACCGTTGCTTCTAATACTGCAATTTCACCGCGTAAGTCATCCGTCTGCTTCTCGAGCTCACTAACTCTCCGTTGACTGGACTGCCACTCTTTCTTCACAGTGCCCAAGTTTTCATTTAATGCAGTAATCTGCATGGTAAGTTTAACTTCATTTTCTTCATGCTTCTTCATTCCTACTTCTTTTTCTTTTATTTCAGAATGCTGTTTTGAAAAGGAAAAATAGTGGGGGGAAAGCCTATTATAAAAGTAGTGCAAAATACATTTAAGTTAGTTACTGAATTTAATATATTGGCAATATAAACAATATTACTTCTTCAGGAAAGAAGGCAGGGCAATTCATTATACACTAATAAAATTGAGCCCACAAACATCTGTGTAATTTGAATTGGCTCCAATGCCATATGCTGAAATGATGTCAGCAAGCCTCCTATAAGATCAAACTAAAGGAAGGCAATTTGAGATTTTCATTTTTCCCACTAGATCAGGGGAAGGACACAGGGATGTGTTCTGGAAACAAAGCTAGCATTTTCTTATGTCTCAAATTCCACATAAATGTGTGAATTGAGACTGCAGTTCAACTAAAACATTCAGCGGCCAAGTTATCTGGAGATATTTGGACTTAATCCAATAAAGGAAAGCCAGATGCTTCCCATTTGGCATGCACAACTTAGGGAAGGAAAAGCAGACCTTGGTCATCATGATTTTAAACGGAAGTTTCCTTTTCCCCTTATCAACACTCACTCTGACCAAACACAGGAGTTTAACATGATTAGCATTCACACCATTTACGTCAGTTTACGTAGCCATGGGTTTGTTTTTCTGGCACTAAAAGTGTTTTTATTTTTTCTGAATTATCTCTTATTGGATTTTCACTTACATAAACCAAAATACAATTACAGAATAAAATATTTCCAATCATATATCAGCTATTTAAAAAATTACATCTCCTTTATTAAAAAATCCTTTATTAAAAATTAAAATGTTAGGTGAGAATTTGAATAACTTCTTGATAGAAAAATCCTCTCTTACTGGATTTATCTACAAAATCAATTACAAAACACACTTTGCAATCTTAACTTACTGACCAGTTTAGCTTCCTTCTCAATAAATTCTTTCTTGAGCTCATCTTCTTCCTTTTTCACCTGCTCTTTTAGCGTATGCTGATTTTTCTTCTCCTGCTCAAGGGCTGCCTTTAGCGAATCAACTTTTCCTTGAAGCTCTAGTTTCTGCTGAATCAAAAGCTGTTTGGCATCTTTGAGATTTGTTACCTCCTATTGAAAAAGGCCAAAATAAATCATCCTTTATAAATATTTCAAAATGTAGCTGAAATTATGCCACTTATCACAACAGTATACACATGAGTTTTAGCCTCTTCTCTAATAAGAGTTTTAAAGTTAAGTATTTCAAACAATTGGTTAAAAAGAGGCAAGATTATTTACTTCATGCTCAACAATCATTTACATTCAAGTGACAGCTTATAGTTGATGTTCTGATTGAATTACGTGAAAAATTTCTACCGTTTCCCTTTCTTTACTTAGCAAGTATTTAATGGTCACCATGTAGGCATCACACACTGTGTTAGGTCCTGGGGATTTATACAAAAATGAATTAGATACATTCTTTGTTCTAAGGAAGTCACATCGGGGAGAACATAATGACATAATATGGAGATAATTGATTATAAAGCAAAATTGTAATATACTGATAGACATAAAAGGTATTAAGAGAGCACTTAAGAGAGAATCTAACCTTTCTCTAAGAAAATGAATAACATTTTCCAGAGCAAATTACAAACAATTAGGTTCTTCAACTGGCACCCTAACTATGCTTATGACAGGAAAATGTTCAAGCCATTATTAAAGGAGTTTAGAATGAAAACAATTGAAGAAACAGAATCCCTTAAATCTTAACTCTAAACTCTTACATATTTTGAAGTTGACTATCTACAAGCATAATTTTCTAAATCAATAGCTCTTTTATCATCTCAACAAAATCTAAAATTTTAGGGTTACTTTGCTTTATTCAGTAATCTGAAAACAAAAGTAACAGTTTCAATATGTATATAGATATTATGCAACACTGGAGTACTCTGAGAGCAAGAGAATTTGTCAAAAACAACAAAACAATGTTCCTGGTACAAGCAGGTTCTCAATAAAGAAATTATATGTATATATTTTAAATTTAAACAACCATAATACAATACAGAAGAACAACAATTATCTTAACATACCTTTATGCTTTCTTGCTTGTGGGACTTGAGTTCTTCACTCAGTTTAGCAATTTCCTTTTCTTGTCTACACTTAATTTCCTCTATATCTGCCAATTTAGATTTTTCATTTACTAGTTCCTTTTCTTTCAGTGACTGTAGAAAAATTCATTAAAAATAATTTTATAGTAAATATTTAGCTGAAAATTAATGTAATAATAATGACTGCTACTATTTATGACACCGTCTCTGCCCCCTTCTACCTCAGTTACCATGAGCAAATTACTTCCCTTCTCTTGCCTCTGTGCACTTAGTCATACAATGTGAATAATAAGATCATACAGTATTCATTTAATAGTGTAAAATGAATAGTGCCTAGCCAAAACTACCATCCTCACTCTCGTTAATACTCTTATCATTGTTATTATTATCATTATCAGTATCTTTATATAAGGCACTTAGATAGGAGTATTATGTTATCTAATTTAATCTCTATACTAGATAGCTTTTTTTAATCCTCACTTTATAGGTAAACAAACAAAACTTTAAAGAAGTTAAATAATAAGACTTAGAAGCAAAACTAAAACAAAGTCTGCTTAATCTACAGTCCTTGTAATTAAAGGCCTATAACCTATAGTTCTGTCAAAATTTTCTAAAGATGAGGCACAAATCATGAATTTCACTTGAACTTCTCCAGCCCCACCTCACAAAAAACACCCCCCAATCTTTTTAATTAAAGAAAATTTCAGAAATTGCACTATATATATATATATATATATATATATATATATCAAGAACTTCAAGATTTGTACACTTCAGAATAATTTCCTATCAGCTGATGGAAATAATATGATTTCAATTATGAAGCCAAAAATAAAATGTTCCCTAGAATCCGAATTTCTTTTTCATATAAAATTTTAGGGCCGGTTGAGTGGCTCAGTTGGTTAAGAGCTCGCTCAAGAGTTTGAGCTCTGAGCAACAGCGGTTCGAGTCCCAGCCCGAGCTGAGCTGCCGCTGAGCTGCTAACAGGTAGCAGGATGGCTCAGCTAAAAATAAAAATAAAAATAAAAAATTTAACTGATTTTTAAATGTACTGGTCATATAATACAATGCTTCCAACTTTATAACAGCTTAGAAAAAGCTGTTTCTTCTCCTTAGAAAAAGCTCATTTTTAATTTTAGGAATTCTTAACAACCTTAAAAATAATTTCTAGACCTTTTAATATCTCTTTCACACATCTACAGGATAACATGTTATATAAGAAATAGTTGAGGAGCTTTTATACTGGGGGTGCCAAAAAAATGTACACATTTTAAGAGATGTTATCTATGTGTTCCTTTTCAAAGTTGAATTGAATTATGGTAGCAATGTGGTATGACATTCACTCAAAAGATGACGTGAATCAAATGAATGCTAGAGTCATTCATTGTATTACAATTTTAATGCAGTTTTTTCCTTTCTTAAAATGTGTATACATTTTTTTGGCACCTTCTGTATATGTTTTTGAATAACCAAGGGTTTACGCGTGAAAAACAGATTAGTTTGTAAAACTAAAAAGAGCAGTAAGAGAAAAGGGGTAGAAATGAAAAAGGAGGCTATTTTAGAAAGTACTTCCTAGCATTAAAATTCCAATTACCAAAAGCGTTTTATCAAAAGCTAGAAGTCCATCTGAGAGAGCTGCTCAAAATAAAGGTGATGCCTGTAATGTGGGTAAGAGGTTTGACTAGATGCAACTCTGAGACTCTAGACTTAGTCAGAAAATGAAATACCTTTTCTTTTTGAATAGCTTGTAGTGCTTTAAACTGCTCCTTCAGCTGCTGTTCTTTCTGTGCTGCATCCTGCTCCAAAGTAGCCTTGGCTGTCTTCAGTTCTTGAATTAATTTATTTTGGTTTTCAATTTGATTTCTGTTTGAAATCAAGTCCTCCTGTGCTAGAGAAAGCTTCTCTTCTACAGACTTATAAAAAAACAATTTCCCCAAATTATTACATGTCTCTTTTTTTTTTGCAAATTTCAACAGAAACATAACAGCTAACATAAGCATAGTGGAAAGCAATAAGCTATAAAAAGACAGTATGTTGTGCCATGCCCTTCAGTAAGATCATGTAAAAGAGAAAGAACACTAGATAATTAACTCTCTTGCCTATGGAAAACATTTATAACATAAAATACTTAATAAAGCTGAAGTAATTCCAAAACCTCTAGAAATAACCTGTAAATATTTACTGTCTAAGTGTTATGAAGGAATATTAAGTAAGTAGAGACCATATCAAACACACTCAGAGAATATATATATGGTTAGAGAGAAGACATGAAGAGACAAGAACAAACTATTTAAAAAGAGATATAGTTAAATGCTATGCTATGTGTACTTATATGTTTTGTAGGACCTGTGATGTTCCTTGACATGCTGAAATCTTTAATAAATAAAAAGGATTCTCTGTCTTGGAAAAACAAAACAAAACTGTATTTCACATCTGCCAACCTGATCAAATGAACTAAGAGAGGGCAGTCGGCCAGACATCTGAGGCTCTGTTCTGCCCAGGCCATCGCCCCGTCCCCCGAGCTTCCCATCTGTGTGGCAGAATAGTGTTGTCAGTTAACACACTCCATAGTTGCTAACTGTTCTAAGGCCCAAATATTTTGAGAAGCCGAAGCTATGGGACAGGGAAAGATTTTTTACCTATTAGGTTTCAATTGGAGCAGATATGTTAACAGGCAGGTAATAGAAATGGCAGGAACCTCACTACTCTTAGCTGCTATTGCTAAGAATCAGCAGGGAAGGGAACTAACTCAAAGATCTTCTTCCACCATCCAGAAGAAGTTTACCTTTCTTATTCTGGAGATATAGTTCCTTTGAAAATGAGGCAGAAGATATAATTCAGGATCCCTGCTGGTTAGACTTAGCTATAGTGGGCATTCAATAAAAAAAAAATAGATGAAAATAAATAAATGAATGAAGACCTTATTTAAGGGGCTTCTTAAGTTTCTTGAAAATTTATTCCTTACAAATAACTCAGTTCAGAAGTCTTTCTGATATAAATCAAATTTCCATTTTCAGAGGCTTCCAGTAGAACACAAAGAAGTAATTCTAAGGCTTCTTTTTCAGGAAAGACCTGAAGTCCTCTCGTCCTTTATTAATCAAACGCCTACCCTTAATTGATTATACTACTAAGGTAGACAGGAGGGTACAAGATGGTCCTTGACTTAAAGAACCTGACTATGTAGCCTGGAAAACAGAGCCAGCATGTAAGATGGGAGCTGTACAAGGTAGCAGAGCATTTGTTACGTGCTAAATGCACAGAAAAACGACATGTGTGAGAGGTTTCTGTGGAATGTGTTTACAGAAGGCTCCAGAGTGTATGTGGGAACTCACCCAAGTATCATAAGGAGTGAGAGTGATTTCAGATAAAAAGAACAAAATCTGACAACGTCTAGTCCATGCAGCCTACAGCAATTGTAATTAGGTAATAAAGGTCTTGATCTAAAGCTAAGAATACCAAGGCTTGCTGGAGCCTGAAAGCAACAGTGTCCTCAACCTCTGACCACAAGAATTTCAAAATGCTCATGGTTTAAACAAGCCTATAAAATTTTAAACACATAAAAATCCAGTGACTAAATCTTTACATTCAAGTTCAAAGTCTAGACTACTCTTTTTCTGAATATGCCAAGACATATTGCTCTATTTTGCCTGTGAATATTCATCTACATCATTCAGTGGTAAACTGTACATTTTTAACATTCTTTTTATGTTTCTTGTTGCAGACTATGTTATTTTCAGCTGCTCAGCATCTCTTCTCTTAGGGAACTCCTCTCCCCCATTCAGTAGTTGAGTTGGGGCTATTTGTAACCCATTGACTCCCACTGGAATAGGCAAATCCCTGAGTACATCGACTACCAACCTTGACCCTGAATCAATATCCCAATCACATTATAGGACTGTAGCTAAAAAGAATGTCTCAGTGTTCTGTGGTAGCTCTCGTGTTTTTGTCTTTCCAACAATTTTTCCCTTTCTTCTTTCAAAATAAAACTTAAAAAATTTTAGTTATTACTTTTCCTTGATGACTGATGAAATGACATATGGAAGAGTACTAGGCTGAGAAGATTTGTATTTAATTCTGAACTTATCCCAGAATTTTAACTTCACTCAGGGTGCAAAATTTACAGTTAAATTTCACTTCTACTTTTCCTCGACAACAAAGAATAGCACACAGCACAGCCAATTTGAAATATCTGGTCAACAAACTTAAGTATTTCATAAATAATCCAGTAGATGGGGCTAAAGGCATAGATCAGGCCAGACCATCATCTTCCATTCCACTGGTGTCTTGGTGTGCACTGTCAGCCCACAGATGGCAGCCTTGCCTTAGGAAGGCCTTAGAAAGGTCTCCCTTTCTCTTATACATAACAAGATCATATAACATCACTGAAGCAAAAGAAAAATAATGGTTGATAGCTATCTCTTAATCTGGCCTATAATATCATTTGAACTTCCCTAGGAATTTATTTCTTTTTTTAAAAATTAACTTCCGAAGTAGTTCTGATACTTTTCAATTTGGAAGCATTAATACAGAATTTATCAATACTCTATTTTATAAAACAAAAAATTCTACTGAAATGATGATAAAAGAATGGCTGCAAGTCAGAACTGAGATCTAATCATGGTTCTGTTACTGTGCAACACTAGGCCTGTCACAAACCAAGATGGGCCTCAGTCTACAAAAGGAAAACCTTCATCTAGACAAGGAAGCTTGGGAATAGAGGATCTGTCCATGGCCTCTTAGTAGTTGTGAAACTCTACAACAGCTTTATCCTTCTATCTTTCACTTTTTGCCCATATTTATATTTGAATTATTCTTTCATGTATAAAACTATTAGCATATGATGTAGCTTTCAGGCATAATAAAAATAGTTGTTGGTTTAATGAAAGTATATTAATTTAAGATATCTATGTAAGTCCTATTACTATGCTATGTTCTTGGGGAAAATACATCCATATAAAAAGAAGAATGTGATTTCTATCGGACTTCTACAATCAGCCAAGTTTCATCTCCTCTATCACCTAAATACCCTTCAGATTCATCCGCATTCTCCCTCCTTGCTATCACCAGCCCAAGCCACCATCATCTGCAGCTGGACCACTGCAGTCTCCTCTTCTCTAGTCTCTACAGTCAGCCATGATCCCCTACAATCCATTCCTTATCCTGCAACCAATCATTAGCCTAAAATACAAATCTGAACTAAACCTTTCAGTGGTTCCCTGCTGCCTTCCAAACTCTTCCACAAACCTTTCCTGACTTTCAATAGTGTTGTAAAATAATAATCATAATAATAATTTAAAGCTACTTATTTAAACAGCAAGCAAATAAGACACTTTCTACGTTGTAGGTGGTATTTTTTTCTTATAACTCTTACTAATTTTGAACTTATCATATACATATATATTCTACTGTTGGTACTATGAACATTCTTGTACCAAATTTCCTATTGCTTTGTCATACCATTAGTCACCACTGATTCCTCCACTTCCCTTGAGCCTATGTGTGTTTCAGCCCTTTCGTTTCACTTGTCTCTCTCATAAATCTTCTGTTCCATTCTCTGTAACTTTAAGCCCAGTTCTAATCAACTCACACCTTGATTACTGGAATTTATGGAGGAAGGAAGGGAGATAGCCTCCTAACCTTTCTAACACTTTACCCCAGGGTACAAGCCAAGCTGTCTGTAAGCCACTTCCGGGTTAAGTTGCCTTAAGTACTGTATTCTTCATTTTATTCCTCTGCTTAGACTCTTCATTCCCCCCCCCCCAAATATAAAGTCCAATCATCCTTGCTAGGCATCTAACCTTTTTAACTTTGACTTCCAAATACAAACTAGCACTCTAGCAAGACAATTATGTTAATTGTCTCCTAGCTTTGCTCATTCCCACTGCAGCACTTTTTCTTAAATGTGCCCTGAGTGAAATTATTTTTCTCAAGACATTCTGTGCATTTAAATTCTATATATCCTTCAAGACCTGGTCAAGTCCTACCACCTTCATTAAGTCTTCCCTATAACAGCCTATAAATAAAATATAGAACATATATATATATATATATATATATATATATATATATATATATATATATATATATATATTATAGTCATGACGCATTTTTGCAATGAAAAACATAGAAAAAATATGTCATGACGTTTCTGACAACCCAATATTACATATATAAATATTCTACAATTTTCAGAAATTTTCAATAATGCACTTGAAATTAAACAAAAAATCCAAACACTAGAAACAAACAAAAGCATAATATTTCACTGTGACAAAAAAAAAATTGATACCTGAATGCTACATAAAAATTGTTTATCCTTTTTCCATATCCTTCATTTTAATAAACATGATAGTTTATCTAATCAAATAGTATTGGACAAAGTTTCCATATGTTGAGATAGTGAAGGGTAACTTTACTTTGAACAATAACCTCCTAATTTTAATTATCAGGTATTCCAGTAGTCTTGGGAAGGTAACAAATATATAAAACTAAGTCAGTATTGCCTGACAACAATAAACTTTTTGCATTTTCACAAATGGTTCACATTTAAAACTCCTTAGATTTTCTAACAGCAGTACTGTTTGTTTTTTTACATAAAGACAGCAAATTCTTTAGATAAGCTAATACTATAGCAATTAACATATTTCTAAATTATCTTGCTATTATAGATACGCTATTTTTAAATGTCTGTACTTACATATATCATATTTTATTATAAAACAATATAATTTTTAAAAAGCATGCTACTCCAAAAATTATAATTTAATAGAAAATCAGTGCGATATTCAAGAAATACTAACATTCCCTTGCCCACTTGGGTTGAAGTGAATCACTTTATTGATGTCTATAAACAACTTACTGAGTTTATATGATACAATATAGTTTACTATACCTTAAGATCTTGCCTTGTGGCAAGAAGCTCAGACTCCTTCCCATAGAAATCAGACTGGAGCAGTTTCAGGCTTTCCTGACTCTTCTCATAGGTGTTTTGTAACACTGATACTTGCTTCTTCTCTGCTGCAAGTTCTTGTGCTGCTTGTGTTGACTGTTGCTGTAGCTTATTCTCAAGCTCTGTCTGAAACACACAATAGTTATTTAAAACAGTATGCATACCCAAAACCACTTACAGATACAAAATGAAATCCACACAACTAAGAAGATTCCTGAGAACAAAATGAACTGCACTTATGACCCCAAACTCAACTTTAATAGAGTAACTTACTTACTTTACAGTTACAAAGTTAAAGAGTTACAAGTCCCAATTTAAAAGCCAAAAAGTGAAACAGCAATTAAATAAAGAACAAAAGCATTTCACTAGGAAATCCTAAGTATCAAGGTCTTGGGAGACCAAAAGTAACAACCATATTGGGATGGAAGGTGCAGTGCTAGAGGCTTTAGAAGATGACATAGCTTAAGGTTAAAGTAAAGGAAATTTCTACGTGAAAGAAATTAAAAAGCTGTTACTATGCTGAGGTTATTGTTTCTACTCCTTGAAATAATTTAGGAAATTTCTACAGTTAATCTTTATTAACATCGAAACAGAAAAAAAAAATCTTACAAAGGTCCAACTCCTCTAAATTCTAAACTTGTCCCTAAGACGATTTAGGAGATATGCACTAATTATGACATAATTAAAATACATGTATGCATAGTACAAAAATAAGCATATGGCTTATAAAATAAATACACTACTTCAATGAAACTGCTATTGGGGTCACCACCAACCACCTTCTTCCAAAATCCAATATTCATGTCTTTGTCCACATTTGACTTGACCTCCCAAGCAGTACTTGAAATAGTTGATGATGTCCCTCTAAAAACATTCTTCAACCTGGTGTCCAGGGTACCTTATGTTTTAGGTCCTCCTCCTACCTCACTGGTCATTCCTTCTTAAAATCTTGTACTAGCTCTTCTTCTGTTTGACCTCTCGAGTTGTAGGGCCCCAGGGTTCTGGCCCTGGCCCTCTTCTATTCTATATACAGTCTCTTTCTAGAAGATCTCAACTAGATCATTTATTTACAACTGACTCCTGAATGTATGTCTCTAGCTCCAACTTTGCCTCCTGAACTCTGGGAGTTCATTATATCCAGTACCTCCCTGACCTCTCCACTTGAATGATTGATAGATGTCTATCTGTAGCGGAACTCTAGATGAATGATAGCAAAGCTCATCAGAAAGCTACTACTGCCCCCACTAAATATGACCATCTATCTACTTGCATAAATCACAAACCTAGAGTTATTCTTGATTCCTCCTACTATCATTTCTTACTATCTAAACTATCAGCAAGTCCTAATGACTCAACTTCCAAAATATGTTCCCAAATCTTCCACTTCTAACACGTTAGTGCATGCCATCATTATGTACTGTCTGAACTATTATAACAGTTTTTCAAAGCCTTCCTTGCTTGCTCCTTTATCTCCCTTTAGTTAGACAAACTTTACTATTCTCTGCCCAAAATTCTCCAATCGATACTTATTGTCCTTAGAACAAAATGTATCATTCTCTGTTATCTTATACTCTACAAGTTTGCATGTATATGCTTTGGTCCCTTTCTACTTCTCTGAGCTCATCTCATATTACCCTTCTCTCCCACTGTACTTACCTATATTGGTCTTCCCATTTAGAAAACAGCAGCTTGTTCTAAGCCTTACAGTCTTTGTACTAGTTGTCCCCACTAGTCTTTGTATAGATAGTTCTTGTATTTCATGTATCAGCTCAAATCTCTTCAGAGAGGCCTCTTTGATCACCCAACCTTTAATAGGACTCTGTCCCATTACTGTCTTTTACATCACACTGCCTAGTTTCTTCCCCCCAAGATGTGTAAGCTCCATAAGAACAGGATCTTTGTCTGTCCATGGCTGTGTCACCAACACCCAGAATTGTGCCATGGCATACAATATGCCTAGTGATATTTCTTGAATAAATGAATGACAAATAGAAGTGGAAAAGTCTAAAACATCTAGTAAGAGGCTATTGTAATGGGCCAGATAAGAGAAAACTACAGCCTGAGCTAAGACTGTGACAGTGGGAAATGAGAAGAGGGGAGTTGATCTCTCCACATATTATCTGATAACATCCCATGCCGCCTCCCTTTCAGTTTAGATTTTTAATGATGAAGAATTCCTGGGCATCAAACTATACTGCATTTATACATTTTCCTTTGTAGAATACTATTACACTTTTCTTTAACATTTTTTTCTAGCACTCTTTCTCTTTAATCATCTTTATGGTTTTCAGCCAAGCCCTCTGCAAAATCTCAATAATGACCATAATGGCCCTTAAGGCTTATATTTGGACCTTCATTATCTTTACTCTGATAGACTCACTCATTCATTTAAAAAAATTATTGATAGCTTATTTATTAAAACAGCTCTCTGACTTTGAGGCACTCAAATCTATAATAGTAATGGGCAAGTTAAATAAAAAAAAAACCAGATCAATGCAACAGTTTGATAATTACTTTAACAGAAGTAAACTCAAAGGCCCAGAGGAGAATGCAGGAAGGTCAGTCATTTACAATTTATCCTTCACAAAATGGCAAGTTTTTGCTCTAAAATAGGTCTGATAGCATTTCTCCCTTCTTAAAAACCTTAGAAATACAGTATCTCAACCTTACAACAATTCTATGGACCCATTTTATTTAGCTCAGACAGATAAATCACTTCCCTATGAGCATAAACCTAATGTGTTATATAAAATTGAAATTCAGATCTGCCTGACTCCAAAATTTACCTTCTTTCCATGATGCTACACTGCTCCTTAACAAAACCTAACTCTCCTTGCCTTTCAATGATTCTTACTCTAACTCCAAGTCTAATTTACAGAGACTAGTTATCCACCCACTACTTCCCAAAATGCTGTCCTCCTCAAGGTTAAGAAGTATATTCAATATTCTAGCATCTATACACTAACTAATAAGTGAACTACTGCTATGGCTGAATGTTTGTGTCCCACCCAAATTCATATATTGAAATCCTAATCCTCAATGTGGTGGTATTTGGAGGTGGTGCCTTTGTGAGGCGATTAGGCCATGAGGGTGGAGCTCTCAGGAATGGCATTAGTGCCCTTATCAGAAGAAACATAAGAGAGAGAATCTCTGTCTCTGCCATATGAGGTTACAGTGTGAGAAGGCAGCTGTTATAAACCAGGAAGTGGGCCGTCAACAGACATTAGATATGTCAGTTGCCTTTACCTTGGACTTCCCAGCCTCTAGAACTGTGAGAAATAATGTTTATTTTTCAAGTCACCCACTCTATGGTATTGTTGTTATAACAGTCCGAACAAAGACAACTACCAATAAGAACTTTCCTCTAAATCTCATAATCCTCAAGGTGTCATCTAATAAAATCATGCAAAGTATAGGCAATATACATTAATCATAAGTATGAAAGAAATCTTATTGTAACCAATAATTTAATGAAAAGAAAGTGTGCTAAAAATGGTGTCTTTTTTTCTTAATTCACTTTTTTCTTAATTCAAGTTGTGATACTATAAAAATGAATTTCTTCGATGCCCGGCCCCAGCTGAGCTGCTGCTGAGCTGCCAACAGGTGGCAGGATGGCTCAGCTAAAAAAAAAAAAAAAAAAAAAAGAATTTCTGGAAAATACTTGGATACTAGGCTAATAGGTTTTGAAAAAAAAAATGACCTCAAGTTATCAAAGCATACAACAAAATATGTATTGTGATAATTACATCCTGACCTATGATTTTATATAATCACACACACACACACACACACACACACACACACACACACACACACACAAAGAATAGAAAAATTTGTTTACTCCTATTTGTATTATTAGAAAATTACTCCTGGATGGTGTAGAGGCTTAACCACTGCACTGTACACCTGAAGCTGTTGTTGAATAATATTGTATGTCAACTATAATTTAATACAGTCATGGGATGTGGAGTATAGTGTGGGGAATGGAGTCAATGGAATTAAAATAGATATGTATGATATGGGGGGGGAGTGGGGTGGTGGATTGGGGGAGGAGGGTTGTCACTTTGTAAGGGGAAAAAAGAAAAAAAAGAAAATTACTCTTATAAAGTGGCATAGTAATTATAAAAATAGTGGTAAACATAAAATATATATTTGTACAATTAATTTTTCTCTAGTAATATGATAGACAACTCTTAGTGACACAATATATTTTATTTGTTCTCCACAGTAGGGATTTTAAGGCTCTCTCCTCTTCATGGAATAGTTAATATGCACATTAACAGTAGGGAAAAACTCATTTTGTTCAAATATCAAGTACAGTTCATTTTTTATCAACTCTTGATCTGGAGAAGTATCAAAACATATTTAAGAATGAAAAAGAGAAGCTTAATACTAAATTAGAATAGGTTTGTAAATGGAAACCATTATGATGTAACTTAAAATATCAAACAATTATACTACATTAAATCTACACTACTAAATTTTTTTCATATATTCCATTTTGTGATTTTTGTTCTTGATTCTTTTCCCTTAATAATTTACTTTTTAAATTCTTTTAAAATTTTCTAATACACTAAAAAGGCTGTATAAATCATTCCTTTAACAATGTGTGAGTTATATGTTATTTTACAAAAAGATCATTTTATGTCTAGCAGATAAGTGATTAGTGCTAGAAATTTAAATAAGAATTATCTGAAAACATTGTTATAGTGAATGGGAATCCAGACTTAGATATTTAATCATATAATTATTTTATACATTCGACTTAGAAATATTTTGGTATATATAAATTTTTTTTGTTGCAACTTATTTGCATTAATTAACATATTATTATCTTAATTGTAAAGTTTTTCTTCCCATAAAAAGTAAACAAATATATCACTACCTTCTGTGAAATGGCAGTTTTAACTTCTCCTTGGAGTGCTTCAATTTGCTTTTTTTTCTGTTCAGTCAATTGTTTTAGCTCATTTATGTTTCCCTGAAGTTGGTGTTCTTCTTTTTCCTTTTGTTTTAAAGTATTCTGGGCCTGTATGATTTGTCCCTGCATTGAACTGAGTTCCAATTTCAACTGATGAGAAGTCTAAAAGAAAAGAAAATCTGGTTAGCATTCATTTATTCATTCCACACACATTTACTGAGTATCTACTACAAGCCAAGCACTATTCTAGGTAGAAACTACTGAGCCTATTGACCACAGGTCATCAGTAGTAAACCAGAAGGAAAAGCCCTGCCTTCATGGAGCTTTCGTAACAGACGCTGTTCACTATGACATGACATGCTGGATTAATCTTCAATATTTGCTTAATCCTACCTACCGTTTTAATTTATGCATATATACTTGGATAGTGCTTGTAAGTGAACTATTGTAGACTAGCATTCCCTTGTATCATAGAAAAAAAGAATATCAACATCAATCTGTAGATTGCTGGGCTATCTACTGTCATTCTAGAATATTCTCAAAATGCTAACTGAGCCTGTTGTCCATAGTTAATCAGAAAGAATAGCTCCATATTAAGTATAATAAAACTAAAATCACTTCCGGCAAATATGTTTAGTATCTGTGTGATGAGAATAAATTATACCACACAACAGATTCCTCATTTAGAGAAATGGAACATATTTTGCTACTATCCTGTTTTCACAATCTACTAGCATAGTCTTCTGTTCACACTGAGGCTCCTCTGTGGCCAAAGTGAACTACTACTATCTCCCACCCTTCCAGCCCAAATCATGTTTTCATGTTTTATGTATATTTCAATAAGAACCTAATTTGAGCATTTGATCATATTCAAAGTTACTTTTTAAAAAGTTTCAGTGCTACATACAGATGTTTCAGCTTATTTCCAATGTAAAGGGAAATATTTTTGTGCAAAACAGGAGTCAGGTGATTAACAATGATGATTACATTATGATAAAATAATAGCTAACATTTGAGCATTTACTTTGTTATGGTCAGTGTTCTAATCACTTTGAAATATATTAACTCATTTAATTCTCACAATAATCCTATGATAGAGATTATATTATTAGCCCCATTGTACTGCTGAGGATACTGTAGCACAGAGATTAAGTAATCTACCTAAAACAAAGCAAGAGAGCATAGCTAATAAATGGCACAGCCAGAAATATTTCTGAACAATACAGATTCAGAGCTTGCGCACTAAGCCACCATAATTTCACATTAAAGACTTCTCAGGACTAGGTTTTACTGCTTTATCAAATCAGATCTCTAGAAAGCTACATGGCTGGACTCTAGTTGCTCGAGGTATATTTTAGAGAATAACAACTAGACATTATAACCATTTATTTACTCATTTGCTTGTTTGTTTCTGATGGAAAGCAATAGAAGCATTAACCATAGAAAAATCTCTTGATTGTTATACAACCATCATTTAAACATACCATTAATGTAAATGTCAATGAAATAAAAGAGTCCTTAAAAGGTCATTTCTATGGAAAGCCTATCAAGGTTTTTTTTCCAACCATAATAATGTTCCTTAATCTAGATTACCTAACTATAAATCTATAATTAGTTGACTCAATATTCTATCTTTATTCATTATAATCCTCAATTTTGGGCCTTTTATTAGGCCCAAACTAGCTTTAAAATAGCTTAAACCTTTTTAGTACTAGGTAGAACACAAATGACAATTTGAAACTATGCATATATGATTCATTACATTTCAAAGAAATAAACCTTCCTTTGATTTAAGCATCAGTGAAAATAGTTTTAAAATATAAAGACTTTATTATGCTTTACATATTTTATGTTACAAAATAAGAGAAAATCTTACCTCTTTCTCTTTTTCAAGTGACTTTTTCAGTTCATTTTGTTCCTTAAGTGTACTTTCCATCTGTACTTGAAATTGATGCTTTAATTCTTCACAAGTTTTTTCCTAAAAAAATGGAAACTACATTATGCAGAAAATATTTGTAGTAAGTTTATGAAGTCTGGTTTATAAGTTTAGTAAGAGCCACACAAGGAAATGAACTAGAATCATTGGTGGTTTAAGATGGGGTAAAATTTTCCATTTCAATTATAAAAACAGGCAAATATGATAGCAGTAAAGGAGGAGAGACAGGAAAAGTCTAAGAGTTTCTATCATCAACCAACTCACAATATTTTAGATGATATTTAGACAATATTTTAGAATACTTTTATGCCACAAAATTAAATATAATTAATTAATTTGTCATGCAATTTTAAAAGTAGAGTAATGGGCTTCAAAAAATAGAAGCAAGGAAAATTTTTAACAGAAAGTATTAAAACAATAAATAAAAAATAATCACATATAATTTAAGAGGGAAGATGTATAGATAAGATATGCTTTCACCAAACAAAAAGGAACATAAAGGTAACATACTACTATCATGTGTTTTTTATACTACTAAATACTTTCACTGACCTTCACAGTGAGAACAAAAAGATTTTACTTTTGCTGTTACTCTGTTGTTCTGTATTAAAAAATTTCTGAGAATACATTACTCTTTAAACATTTCCTCAGACTATGAGACTTTTTTTTCTCTTTAAATAGGTTTTATGGTATCTCTAAGACAGGTATTATCTAGAATTTTAGAATATTCAGTAAAGATTAGAAAGTTTATAGTATCAGAATTATAAGATCATCAATATCTTTCTGGTCTTTTTTCTTTTTTTTTTTTTTTTGAGGACAAGTGAATAATGTTTCAACTAGTAGCTATATTCTCTGTGAATATGTCCCTGACAAACCTTCAGTCTCTCCCAAATCTCATATCATACCAACAAATAGAGAAAAGATTGTATATTCAACTGAAAATTTCCTGGGCCTTTGGAAAATAACACACACACACATGCCAATATCTTTTTCTCAGGTTAAGTAATTCCAATTCCTTTCTTCATGAGATCTATTTAAAACCTTTACACGTAGGGTGAAAAGTCAACAGTGAACTAAGCAGAAAAATCAGTACATTTTAAATACAAATCACTTATACCTAAGAAAGTAAATGTAAATAACTAACCAAATCTAATATAGCGGCCTTTCCTTTCTGATTTGCCTTTTCAAATTCACTTTTGGAGTTCTTCAAAGAATCAGAAACTTTTGATAATTTCTCTCTTGCTGCAGAAAGCTCTGCCATTAGAGTTTCTTTTTCTGTCTTCACTTTTTGTAGTTCTGTTACTGCTGTTTGAATTTTGTTATTCAATTCCTTGTGCTGCATCTTTGCATCTTGACTTAAATTTTCAATTTCTTTTTTAAGAATTACTTTTTCTTCCTCTTGCTTGGTAAGCATTTGCTTAGTATTTTCAAGGGCTTCAGATTTTTCCTGTAGGTCCAACTTTGTACTGGATATTCTAAATATTTAAGAAACAATTTTTAAAAATAATGCATATTATACCATCCCTAATTTACCATTAAAAATTAATAAATAATTATTGAGTTTTAAGCCTTTCTTGTTAATAAAAAAGTTAATAAAAATAAACATTTCATGTCATAAAATCACACAACCAAAAAATGCCTTAAAATATATGATGTGATTATTAACCAGAGGAAGATGATTTTCCTCAAGTCAAATAAGTTAGTGGTACAGCCAAGACCATCTAAGCCTCCTGACTTAATCCAGTCTTGTCCACCACAATAGATCCCCAAAGAAAACTATGTATACAGCAGACCCTCTAGTCTGCAACAGCCAGGAAAATGTTTCCATGTACCCTAAAAAGCCTATTTATTGTGTTAGGCCCAGAGCACATACAGAACTTTGTCTCTTTCCTTTGTAAACATAAAACACATTATGTCTGTGATAGGTCTTAAACTTCAAAACACTTCAGGTTAACCCAGAAAAAAATAAATTAAATAAATAAAAGAAATATTTCATTTCAAACAAAGAGGAAAGACAAAGGATTTATTTTAATCCTAGAGCCTAGCAGATTGTACAGAGATTTGTTAACATTTCTCCCTTACCATAAGTTTTCTACACCCGAATGAATAAGCTACAAGAACTGTAGATACAAGAAATGAAGATACAGCTTTAGGAAAATTAAACTAAAAATTTTTTTGTTTTCAAAAAAGGAATAAAATTTCATATATATATGATGAACCAAAAAACACACATTAAATCTCAAACATTTTTAAAAGTGAAAATAAAGCCAGATGCAAAGTAACACTTCTTGAATGCATAGCATTTCCAATGTACCTTATAATCAGTATAAATTCAGCAATATGTTAAAGAGTGATGGTTAAAAGATTTACTACCCACACATTTGAAGTTGTATATTAATACAATACCAGAACCTTGACATTTTCCAACTTTTAGTCTCAGAAACTTACTTTCTAAAAAGTAGCTACAAAAGATGAAGTTAAGTATATTCAAAGGATACTGTACCTCACTGATTTTTAAACACTTAAAAAGAAAAGTATTTAGATATACTAGTATTATTTTATCATTTTAATATAGTTAGGATCTCTGTCAAGACTAAAATTAAGAGTTGACATTTATTAACTATGCTACTTAAGTTTTCTATAGATAACTATTATAAAATCATAAGATTATGTGAATCAATAAAAAAACAGATATAAAGGAAAGCATAGTCACTGTAAAACTTTGTTTATAAAAAAATTACTAAAGGAAATAATAAACAAATCCACAATTATAGCTAGAAACTTTAACACCCCTTTCTCAGAAACTGATAGAACAACCAGGACAACAACAACAAAAAATTGGCAAGGAAAAGAAGATTAGAACACTATCAACCACCTTGACCTAACTGATATTCATTGAACACTAACCAAAAACGCAGAGTACGCATATGTGCACATGGAAAATTAAGGTGAATAACACACTGGGCCATAAGACAGTTTGAAAAGTATGAATTTTATTGAGTATGTTCTCTGATCACTATGAAATTAAATTAGAAATCACAACCCAAGATATCTAGAAGAGCCCCAAATAGTTGTAAAATAAATAATATATTTTTAAATCACCCATGGATCAAAGAATAAATCACTAAGGATATTAGAAACTATACAGTAATGAAAACACATTGTAAGATGTGAGGGAAAGAGGGAAAGAGTTGGATGCATAGGTGCTGTCAAACCCCAGATACGTTTACTCAGTCCTACTTTCCTAGGTAGTACTCTAGAAATGCAAGACCTCACATAAGAAATGTTTGCACAAAGTGTATAGGTAAAAAAGATCTCAGTACTAAAAGTTTTTCCTACCCCAATATGATGTGAAAGCCCCTGAGTGAATTCTGAACCATGAGATTAGAACACCGAATAGAAATGGGCCCATTTCCATTGAGCCCATTAGAAATGGAAAGAACCATTGGGCCAATAGGGGAGTTGGGGAAGAGAACAAGAACCACGACAGAAGTGATCTTCATGTACCAATGACTATTTAGCGGGTGATATAAAGGATCAGACGTGCTCCCCAAATAGGAAGGCACTGGGAAGTATGATGTTAACAGTGAAGAGAAATGCCATTTGAGGCACAAAATGCACCTCTATAACCTCAAATTCAAAATATCAGGACCCAATTTACTACATGTGAGAATAAGAAATTTTTCATCATCACTCTCAAAACAAGGATGAAACCATGAAGGTGTGAAACAACTTAATTATCATTAACTCTGATGGGTTTTATTTAATTTCCCTGAAGGGTACTTTTCCCAGGCTCTCAGTCTCCAACTTTACTCCTGAGAGTCAAGGACCCTAATCACCTTGACACAGAAGAAGTCTGTCAATTCAGTCAGCGTCACCTATTTGGCATTTAGAGACAAAGTCTACTGAAGTGTGACAGGGCACAGCCCTCCTATGAAGACATCCAGATGAATGGGGTGGAAGTGATTTTTATTCATCAAAATTCTGATGAGCTATGTGTCCACTGAAGATCTCATAGCAAAACCCAATCCAACCATCAACATCAAGGACAAGCTAGACAAGGAACTAATTCTACCTTGGAAATGGAAGGGAAAATGTCCCTAGCTCAACACTTTTATGGATCTATGGCATGTGTCCAGAGGCACATATCCTCTCTGCCACCAAAGACATCTGAAATTTCATTCACCAATTAATCTTTAAGGATCCTAGTATCTTCTAAACTAATCTACCCTTGCACTCAGTGCTATCAATGAGCCCATTGAGCATTTAGTGCAAATCAGAAAAGGGTAATCATCATCAAGATAATTTATTCCAGCCGGCTGAGTGGCTTAGTTGGTTAAGAGCTCACTCAAGAGTTTGAGCTCTGAGCAACAGCGGTTCGAGTCCCAGCCCAAGCTGAGCAGCCGCTGAGCTGCCAACAGGTGGTAGGATGGCTCAGCTAAAACAAACAAAAAAAAAGATAATTTATTCCATCTGTTGAAAAACTGTCATATTATATTGATTTTATTAGAATAAAGCACATAACTATCATCTACAAAAAACTGACATCTAGCATTGACAAAATGCAAAGGGGGCAAGGAACTAAGAAAAAGACTATAAAAGGTGGACAGCCACAAGGAAGCCTCCACATTAAGAAACTATAAAAAAGAAGAGCAAACTAAACCCAAAGTTTAAGGAAGAAAATACTAAATAAAGATAAAAGGAGGGAAAAATGAAATAAAAATTGACAACGAAAATGAAATCAAAAGTCTTTTTTATAAAATTTATAAATCTAATTAGATTGATCAAGAAAAAAGAGAGAAAACAAATTACCACTATTAAGAATAATAATAAGATGGTGCCAACTTGGGCCAGTGAAGCAACATCCTCCACAACTAGATTGAAGAACGAAACGACAGCAGCTTGTCTGTTCCCCTTCCCCCAATTCCCCAGCACTGTTCCCATCCCCCCAATTCCCCAATAAAAATCTTATAAAAAAAAGAATAATAATAAGACAATACTACAGATCCTACAAGACCTTAAAGGTATAATAATATTATAAACAACAGTATATCAAATGAATTTGAAGTTTAGATGAAATGGACAAGTTCCTTAAAAGACACTAATTACCAAAACTGATTTAAGAAAAATATTAGAAAATAAAAGCATCCCTGTATCTATTAAATGAATTGAACCCCAAATTAAGAAGCAACCCAGAGAAAAAACTTCAGGCCAGTTGGTTCATTGGTGAATTCAATCAAACATTTAAGAAATAAATAATATCTATGTCATACAAACTCTTTCAGAAAATAGAGCAAGACTGTCAACTCCTTTTTAAGGCCTATATAACCATAATTCTAAAACCTTGACAATAATATTAAAAGAATCCTGAGAGTATCATGCTAAGTGAAATAAGTCAGATGGAAAAGGACAAGAAAGAAACATATGATTTCACTGATATGAGGGATATAAAACAGAAAGCAAAAATGAACATACAAAAACTCATTGACAGACAACAGTATGGTGGTTACCAGAGGGAAAAGGGGTGGGAGGAGGTTGAAGAGGGTAAAAGGGGTCAAATATATGGTCACAGAAGGAGACTAAATTTTGGGTGATGAGCACACAATGCAATATACACATGATATATTATAGGATTGTCCACTTGAAACTTATATAATATTATTAACCAATGTCACCCCAATTAATTTAATAATAAAATAAGATAAGAAGGAAGGAAAGAAGGAAGGACAAACATTACAGATCTCTCCCTTAAGTAGTTTAGCTTACATTTCTTTCTCCATTTCAGTAACTATCATGAATGCATGGAAAATTGTAAATAAAGTATTATTAAGTTAAATACAGCAATATATAAAAAGAATAATACTGGATGATAAAGTGGGATTTATCCCAAGAACACAAGGCTGGTTTAATATTTAAAAATCAATCAAGGTGATACACCACATTAACAGAATAAATAAGCAAAGCTATATAATCATATCAAAAATGCAGAAAAAGAAGTTGAAAAAAAAATTTTTAATGAAAACTAGTAAAGGGAATGCCCTCAATGTAATAAAGGAATATAGGAAAAACCAACAGCTAACCTCTAAATTAATGATGAAATATTTAATGTTTCCTACCTAAGATTGGGAACAATGCAAGGATGTCCACTATTAGTATTTACACTCAAAATTTTACTGGACAGGTCAGCCAGGAATAAATCAAGAAAAAGACATAAAGGCCTACAGATTGGAAAAAAAGAAGTAAAAACTGTTCTATTCACATGACTGTCAACTCAGAAAATTCTAAGAACTCTACAAAACAACTATTAAAACAAAAATAGTGAATTAACAAGGTTAAAGTTCAGAAAGTCAACATGTAAAACTCAATTGTATTTTTATAACTAGCTGTAAGCAATCAAGAAATTAAATTTAAAAATAACTATTCCATTTACAGTATTGAAAAACATAAAATATTTAGAAATAAATTTAACAAATGATGTCCAAGATCCCTATTTTTAAAATAACAAAATGTTGCTCAGAGAAATTAAAGAAGACCTAAATAGGTGAAGAGATACACCATGTTCATGAGTTAGAAGATTCAATATAGTTAAAAGTTAATTCTTCCTAAATTGATCTAAAGATTCACTGCAATTCCAATGAAAAACCCAGTAATTCTATTTGTAGAAATGCACAAGTTAATACTAAAATGTATATGGAAAAGCAACAAATTTAGAAGAGTCAAGACAATCTTGGGAAGACTGACACAACCAGCGCAATCCACTACAAGCTACAAAAGTCCACATAGGATGGTACTGCTGTCAGGGTACCACACAGATCAATGGGACAGAGTCCACAAACAGACACACATATATTACCGTATTTGCCGGCGTATAAGACGATTTTTTGGCCCTGAAAAATATGCCTCCAAGTGGGGGGTCGTCTTATACGCCAGGTACACTTCAGATAGACTGCCCATAGTGCTTGCCCCGTGCCATAGTGGCCTCCCGATGCCCGCCCACTTCATTCCACATACCGTTCAGGCATCAGCAGCGCTGCTGGGTGTATGCTCAGCTGTTATGCGATTTTGCTGTTATGCGATTTTACCACACTCGCAAAATCGCACACAGCTGACCATACACCCAGTATGATAGCGCAAAATCGCGAATCGCGATACCATACTGGATGTATGGTCGACTGTGTGCGATTTTGCTAGTGTGGTAAATTCGGGTTACCGTATATTTCTTTACATATGCATTGAAGATTTGCGATTTTGCGCTATCATGGTGCCTGTTAGAATGTTGAAGAGCTCGCACTTGCGCACTAGTGAGGTCCCAGGGAGATGCTGATGCAAGGGTGGACCAGACTGCTATAGTGACAGGGCGGGCAAACAGGGAGCAGGGACCAATCAAATCAGGCTTTGTATACAGCCAACAGCCAACCACAATACTGCACCATTGTACAGTACAGCATAGAAAATGTCGACCAGTCAAACCCCTATCATCCCTATCATGGCACCAGCCAAAAGAAAGAAGTATGATGCAAATTTTAAACTGAAAGTTATAAACTTTGCTAAGGAAAATAATAATTGTGCTGCTGCAAGACAATATGGAGTAACAGAAAAGATGGTTCGGGACTGGAAATCAAATGAGAAAGCATTAAAGAGTATGCCAAGGAGTAAGTGTGCATTAAGAAGAGGCACCCCACACTGGCCAGAACTCGAAAAACATGTAGCAGACATGGTGGCTCAACATCGCCAAAACGGTTATGTGGTGACACGAAATACAATACGCTTGTTTGCACTTCAGTGGGCCAAATCAAATCTGATATTGTTTTACCTTTTATTTGGTGTGTGGAAGGTGTGCGGAAGAGGGGGTAGTCTTATACGGCGAGTATATAACAAACTGTATTTTGAGTGGAAATGTTAGGGGGTCGTCTTATACGCCCAGTCGTCTTATACGCCGGCAAATACGGTATGTAAACTGCTCTTGACAAAAGTACCAAGCCACTCAATGGGAGGAAAAAAGTTTTATCAACAAATGATACTAGAACAACCTAACAACGTATGGGTAAAAAGGTGACCCTGAACCCCTACCTCATACCTGACACAAAAAACAAATTCAAGGTGAAACCTAGGCCTAACTGCAAAAACTAAAACTATAAAACTTCTAGAAGAATTCTTCATAAGACAATAGGGAAAGATTTCTTAGAAAGGACACAAAATACTATACATGAAAGAAAACAAAAATGACAAATTGAATTTAACTAAAATTTAAAACTTCTAGCCATTGAAAGATACCACCAAAAAATGTAAAGCAAACCAGGTAGGAAAAAAGGTTTGAAAATATGTGCATAAATATAGATAATCTTCCAAAATGCATCACAAAGCTAAAATAGATCATTTCTTACAAGAAAGTATCCATTCCCTACTTGGTACAGGGCCTCAAAGCAGAAGCCTGCTCTTGGGTGATATATATAAACATACCTTTATTTGTTAATTTATGTTATTTTTTTCAAATTGGTAAACAACTCAAAACAATTGCTTTCACCCCGAAAATGAGTACTATATCACTGCTAAAAAGAGACTAGATAAGTCAAATTTTCAGTCCTTTCTAGCGAAGGTCAAGTTTACCATGTTATGATGGCTTCATTTTTCATCCCCATTAACATCAACGGTTTATATTAATAGAATCAATACAAAGAAACATTTAATAAATCTTTAAGCACTGTGATAGCAAAACTGAAGTCTTAAGAAAATTTTAATACTTAGATTATAATTTTCTCCCTTTAGTAGTTTAGCTTACATTTCTTTCTCCATTTCAAGTTGTTTACTCAGTTCTGTGGCTCGAAGCTCTAACTCTGTGTGCAGCTGTCTTTGCTGTTGTAGATCCTGCAAAGCCTGTTCCTTGCTTGCTTTAACTTCAAGAGTATCAGCTTCTAGTTTCTATGAAATAAATATAGTAACAACTTTAAGGTCAGTAATTATTATTATATATTATAACATTTTTGTTTTATACTCAAATGGGTATTGACATGACACAAAATAACCATAAAATATTTATGTTATAATAAAAATAATTCTGGATCCATTGCTGATTAAAGTAGCTATCTTGGAATCTTTCAGAGGCACTAGCAGCAGGCTTTACACATGACAATCACTAAATTTTTACTTTTTAAAATTAATTCTGAATAAGAGAATAAACTTAAAATAATTATATTTGTAACTTGAGTAAAAATTAGTAACTCAAGTATGAAAAAACTAAGTAAAACTTCACATATGGGTCCACATAAAATATATTATCCTTTATATTCACAGTTAATAAAACTGATGTAATTATAGATATTCAAATCTAAAATGCAGCTGTCATGTCATCCTTCTCATTAGCACCTATTAACCCTAAATATAAAGCCAATTAAATTTCTGAGTTTGCTTCTTTAATCTCTTGGTGTAGACATTGTTCTTCATAGTGTAGTTTGTATCTCATATATATATATATATATATATATATATATATATATATATATATATATATACATATATATACACACACACACACACACACAACATAACTGTATATTTTTACAAATTTATAAAATCAAACTATTTAGTATATAGGTTGAATATCTATAAGCAATGCATTTTCTTATACAGTTGTAATAATTTTGCACCCTACATATAATAAACTAATCTAGGTACCTGTGACTCTTACTTGACACTGATACTGAATATTTGAGGTAACTAATATTAATTCTATAACAATATATTGAAAAACATATTGAATACTTCCTAAAACAACAATATGTTAAAGATCTAATAAATACAATAGACACTATTGATTCTAAATAACTACTTAAAAAGATACCCAAATAGAATTCTCATTAGACACTTTCCAATAAAATAGTTTTTTCTGTTCTTTTCAACCATTACATAAAGTAATGTCATTACTATTATCTCTGGCCATAAAGAAAAGAAAAAAAGAAACCCATAAACAGAATTATAAATGTAATTTTTCTTCCATGTAATATTGGTGTGGACGTACATATTAATATATACATATACACATCCCATTATTGTATAATTGTACAGAAGTGCTTCACCTGATTGTGAAGGTATAACTTATATGTATACATAAACATGAGAAATTTTTGTTTAACTGATAGTAATTCCAATGTAAAGGACAAAGAACTCAGGTCAAGTCCTTCTGATATGTCTGGTCAATGAATCTCTTTAGTAAATCAACACTCTCAGTTGGAGTTGTATTAAAGTAAGAAGGAAGTTTATCACAGAGTAAAATTATTATTAAATTAGAAACAAAATCCAAAGGGTATAAATGTAAAGTTTAAAAAAGGAAGAAGTCTACCATATCTTCAATATTATATTGGAATAAGAAGATAAGGAGATGGAAATGATAGAACAAAAGAGACTTTTGCTCAACAACAAAAGACAAGTTCCTTGTGCTTATGGAGTACATCCCTGGTTGACTGTTTCTTTGAAATACTAATTACTACAAGGAACCAATAAATATGTTAACTGTCATTTGTAAAAGCCACCCATTAATGAAGAAAGTAAAAGTAAAGGTGGAATTCAAAATTAAGACATAAAAAATTGCAAGTAATTAAAAATTTTTTATATTACAAGTTCACCTTTGTTTGCAAATTTAAAATCTTTGATTCCATCCAGGTCATCAGTTTCCATTGCTACAGCCATAGAAAATATGACTAAATTAAATTTTTTTTATACAAACCTTAATTTGACCTTCTAATTCCTCAGTTTTTTGTTCTAAAGAGAGGTGTTTCTCTTTGTATTCTTTGAGATGACTTTCCAGCTGACTGCAATGTTCTTGCTTATCCTGCAACTTGGTAACAGCCTGCTCCAACTGAGTAGTGATCTTATTTAACTCCTATAGAGAAGTACAATTGAAGAAAATTTTGGTAAGTTTTACTTTATTGTAGTGCCCAAAAAGAAAATTGAAAACTCTAATTTTATTTAAGAAGTTGTTTGGAGTTAGATCACAGACAAGTCTAATGATAATTCAGTGCTTAAATTTATCCACCAATATAGAGGACCTGAACTGAAGCTGTGTACAGTCAGATATTGTTTATAAACAATAACAATTCAATAACATTTTCTAGGAAGCCAAAAGATACAAAAGAATAATAAACAAGCTAATAATAAAATAACATTTTTATAATTAAATGTTTTAAATATTCAAGAGACCATTTTAAAAATAACTTTAAAAAATATAAATGATTATATCTATGACACTTGTTTAATTCATTTAGAATATCTAGTTACACAGAAAGATCAAAATAAAAATTATTAATAAATCCACCACCCACAGATAATCACTATTTGTTTTGATAAGTTTCCTCTCAGTTTTTTCTGTATGTGTTTCTATTTTTTGACCTGTATTTTTAAAATAAAAACAGGATCTTGCTTTACATACTATTTTACTGTAACTGCCTTTGTTGTTACATAATAAGACATCATGAAACTGTGACATTTTCTAAAATAGCATTATACTTGACTGCATAATTTTCCATTTTATTGATACAGACCATTTTTTATCCAAATGTTCTATTTTAGATTCTTAGATTGCTACTAAACTTTCTGCTTTATGAAGAGATGCAAACAGCATCCTTAAAGCTGTGATTATTCCCTTAAAATAAAAGACTAAAAGTGAGCTAAAGAATATGAAAAATCCTAAAGTTCTTGAAATAGATTGCCTAACAGCTTCCCCTGCCACCATCAAAAGGTTGAACTACCACTAGCAATGTATAAAAGTGGCTTGTTCTTCTACACCATCTCCAGACCTTCCAGTGTTAATTAAACACGTACACACATACATTTTATCTCAATAAGGGCATATTTCATTGTTGCCTTAATTTGCAACTGATTCTTAATGAACTCGAATATTTGCTAATATAGTTTTGATCATTTACTTTTTGTAGGTTCACTTATTTCTTATGTAAAAGTATTTTAAATATCAAAGATATTAACCCTTCATCAGACATACTTCAGAAAATGTTTTATCCTTTTGCTATTTGCTTTAGAATTTTGTTAATATTTTTGGCAGAAAAATTTTAAACTTTCATGGAGTTATTCTTACTAATAATTTTCATTATAGTTTCTGGCACTGATCTTGTGCTTAGAAAACACTTTCCAGATATGCTTAGCAATAATGTAAGTAAAAAGCAAGTTGCAGAACAACATATATAGTGATTCTATGTGCATAATAGAAAAATGTGTGTGTGTTCAATGCTTATAGAAGTCAAGAAGGATACATACCATTTTTAATAGCAAACGTTCTATCTAAGGAGGAAATGGGATTGGGGTTTAGGGTAAATATTGCAAACAGTTTTCTTTTGTTAACTTAATATACTACTATATTGTTCTTAAAAGTTGGACCAACAACCAGTATTACTTCTCAAATAAAAAATTTTAAAAATTCCTATCTGGTAAAAGGTAAGCATAATCTACCAGCATTTTGAACTTGGCCCTAAGGTAGCAAGCTTTTACTTTATCAGAAGTATTGAGAAAAGTAACCTATATTCCCTCCAGCCCCATTTACTCCTACTCCCAAATAAAGAGAGTGACTCTTATTATTGGGATGGAATACAACATATGTTGCTCTTTTCTGTTTCTAAGTGGTAAGTATATCTGGGTCATGGCCCAGGCCGTCTACTCAAAACCAGTATAGAAGCTGCTCTCTCTTTCCTAGTCATTGGCACTTGATGGGATGAAGCAACAATTCAACAATTAGAAGTGAATATTTCAGCTCCCCAACAAGTTCTAGACTAGGGGAGAAAAACAATAGTAAGAAGCTCAGCTTTAGCTTCACTCCAGTTGAGCTTATCAAAAACAAAAATATTTTTATCTTTATCTGTCTGATTCCTGCATCAACCACTCAACTGGTTCTGAATTCAGGAAGAAATTAAGAGGAATAAGCAAGTTGATTACAACATTATGTAAAACTAAGTATCAGCTTTATACATGTTTGTAATTAATTTATCTACCAAAATATTAGATTACGGTATGAACTACATCAGGTTCCCCTACCTGCTGTTTATCTTGTAGTGCATTTTGGGCTGTATCCAAATGATTTTGAAGATCTGCTCTTTGAGCAGTTTTAGCTGCTTCTGCTGATAGCAATAATTCAGTTTTGGCTTTAATCTGCAACAAAATTTACAAGTCATTTAATCCGTATTCAGTTCTTGATTTCCCCTTGCTTGAACATACATTACTTTTGTCACTAAGTAATTTTAAAAATTAAGTCCTTTGGCAAAAAATGTAAGGATTTAAACACTTAAAAATAAGTATGTGATAATTCCCCAAACAGGAATGAGTAGGGGAGAAGACTCCTAATAATGTTTGGATAAATGATGAAAAGATTCACTGTATGATACCAAAACACTTCTCCCTCTTAAATTGGACATCCATGTATTAGGTTGTCATATAACTCATCTAACAAATAAATACGTTTTTAAAAGAAAGAAATGCGTTTCCTTGTTTTCCAAGTTCTGTTATATTATTTCTTATTTTCAATGGAATTAGGAGTCAAATAGAGAAAATCAAGGCATAGAAATGTTTCCATAACTTTCTCCACTACAGTGTTAAGAAACCAGTGATGAGAATGGGGAAAGAAATATGACTTAATTCCCACCCTATAATTGACTTATCGAGCAAAATTTCTACATTGGCTTCTGAAAGAATATATATTAAAATACATAATGGTACCATATAGAGATATTTTTTAATCATATCTTTAAAGTAAATTTTTAAAAATCAAAGTCAGAAAATGTTTAACCTAGAAAGCTAATGGTATCAAACTACTTTGAACTTCAAAAACAATAATAAGGAATTCATGAAAACAAAGCAAAGTAAAAACATTCAGTGGTTTCAGGAGGTGTAATTTGCCAGGAGAGAGAGAAAAAAGGGCAAACAGGAAAGCTCAACAAATTGTCTAAATACAACCTTTATTTATTTTCTAGTCCCAATTTTTTTCCATTAATAAGAAGGGAGGTGGAGACAGGGATGGGTATAGAAAGAGAGAGAAGCAATGTGTTTTATTCACACTAACTCCTATTAAATTGCATAATTCAATATTACCTGTATGTCAAGCTGAGAGATCTTCTCTTTGCTTTCATTTAACTGACTATTTAATTCACTGACACTGGTTTCCAGGGAAAGGACCTGATCTTGTGCAGCTCGAAGATGTGCCTTCTGCTCTTGCACCTGGTCATGCAAATTCTCCTGGGCTTGTTTATGGCTTTCTGACTGGTTCTTCAGCTTCTCTGTCAGCTGAGTTACCTACCACACAAGCAAGACTCTATGAAGGTCACAAATGATATAACAAGAACTAAGAAACCCAAACTTAAGTACCATGAGAATATTAAAGTGCTGTATGGTAGGTTATCTCAAGTTTTTTTTTCAAAAAGAATTGTTCACATCTTTCAAAAATAAGTAAACATAATATCTCAAAATCATAAGAAATGACATCAAATTCACAGATTACTATTATTTTTAAATCCATCTCTGTTGAACTATAATTTACATGAAATAAACCCCAATTTAATTGTATAGTTTGAGAAGATTTGATAAACATATCCACTCATTTAACACCCCCACAATCAAGATAAGGAACATTTCCATTACCCAAAAAAGTTTCCTCATGCCGCTTTGCAGTTAGTACCCTCCACTCATCATTAGCCCCAATCGCTGATCTGATCACTGAGTAATGAGCTTCTTATATATTCTGGATATTTCCGAATTGTCAGACATATGTACTGGAAATATTTTATCCCACTCTGTTTCTTGGCTTTTATTTTCATAATGGTATCCTTTGAAGAGTATATATTTTTAATTTAGATGAAATCCAATTCATCTGATGTTTCTTTGGTATACCTTGCTTGGAATTGACTGAGTTTCTTGAATGTGGGTTCATATTTTTAATCAAATTTAATTTTTTTTCTGGTATTATTTCTATAAATATTTTCATCCTCTCCACCTTATATGTATGCTAGATTACATGACACCATCCCACAGGTCACCAAGGCACTGTTGTTGTTTTTTCCACTCTTTTTTCTCTCTGCGCTTCATGTTGGACAGTTGAAATTACCTTGTCTTTATGTTTAATGATACTGTTTTCTACTTGCATAATCTATAAAGCCCATCCAATGAAATTTTCATTTCAGATCTTTTTTCTATCTTGAAGTTCTATTTGTTTTTTTTTTATCATTTCCACGTCTAATTCCATTATTATAGTTTTTCTCTTATATCCATAGTATATTTTAAGAACTGTTTTTAAGTACATGTCTGATGACTCCATTATCTCTCATTTCAGGGTTTCTTTCCATTGAATGATTTCTCTCCTGCTTGTAGCCTTTATATCTTCTTTATATCCAGTACTTTTTTGATATTTAATGTAACAGCTCTGGATTTTATTGTCTTCTTTTAAAGAATGGTGAATTTTGTTCCAACAGGCAGTTAATATACTTGTGGTTCAACTGGATCCTTCTGAGGCTTGTTTTTATATGTGTTAGGTCCGGTGTGCACTAGCTTTTTTACTCTAAGGGCTAGTTTAGCTTTACTTCTAAGATGTTACATCTCTGGGGTTTCTAATCAATACCTCCAGGTTCAACCATGTGTTTCTTCTCTGAGTAGCTAGAACTTGAACATCTCCCAGCACTGTGAGTCCTGATAATTTTTCAGCCTACAGCTCCTAATAATTGCTCATTACCTGACCTCATGGAATCCCACCTTATGAGCACAACGTTCAGCCAAAGGCTCAAGTGGATCCCCATGCAGATTTCCGGAGCTCTTTCTCCCCATGTTCTCTCCACTCTGATATTCTCCCCTGCAAATCTGAGCTGCCTCAACTTTTCTGAACATCAATCTCTCACTCTTCAATTCAGTGAAGGCCACTGTGTTTCCCTTAGATTTCCCCAACCAGTACCACTGTCTAGAAAATGTCTCCAGGTCCAAAGTTGGAGTGGCCAGGAGATTGACTTCATCTGTCTCTCTTTTCTCAGGTGTCAAAGCCCTGTACAGCTCATTGTATAATGTCTGAAAATAGTGGTTTTACACATTTTTCCCCCCACTTTTCTAGTTGTTTATGGTGGGAGGACTAAAGAGGTATCAGTTATTCCAACATGGCCAGAAGCATAAGTACATAGATTTGTATTTATTCTTTTACAAAAAAAAATGCATATAGACTTTTCTTGTCATATTTGAATGATAAGCAACGTCAAGTTGTATGCTAGTTACAACTAAACACTAGTCTAAAGAATTCTTCATAAAAACTGGTAACCAAGGCTAACTTTGAAATGTGGGAAAAATATGTGTTGTATTCTAATATCCAAATTAGAGAAGTGCTATGACCTACTGATACTTTAATACTTTCTCATTTAGATAATTATAATTCCCTCAATGGACAATTCTTCCCCCAAAAAGCAACTATAATTTCTTCCCAGTTTGAAACATATTATTAAGCTAAATGTACTATTAATAAATATACTATTAAGCTAAATGCAATATTAAGCTAAATTTTATGTGTTTTTTAAACTACATACAAATTTTAGAATAAGGTAACATCAAAATTATTATTAGCTATATATTCCAAGGACATATACATTATCAAAATATAAGTAACCACTAAGTCTGTATGCTAACCAATACACAGTAACAACTAATACTTGATTAGTACTTTCAGTTTATATACATATATATATATATATATATATATATATATATGTATGTATGTATTTTGTTATTCATTCTTTTTTCAAAACAAAACAAAATGCTACGAGGCAAGTATGATTATTAATAACATCTCTACTTCTCAAGTAAGCTAACAAGTGAAATAGTTTGCTTGTGGTCACATAGGTAGTAAGTTACATCCTAGAGCATGAACTGAGGTTTCCTTTCTCAAATCATGTTAACCTAATTTCACTACAGTGGCAACCCACCTCTAAGATAAATGAGATGGTATTTGTCACAAAAATATATAATATAAAAAAGTACTAAAAATAACCAGAATGAAAAATCATTTAAATAAAGCACTTTGTAAGATTTAGAGAGATAAAAGTAAATTTTAGAAATAGAATTGATTTGACAAGCTTACTTGTTCCTGTAAGGTATGGTTTTTTTCTTGTAACTGGTTAAGAACAGCAGTCTCCCCTTCACCAGCCTGAATTTTTGCATAAAGATCTTCTCTTTCCTTTTCTAGCAAGGAAATATTTTCTTTACTCTTCTGTAATAAGGCTTCGAGGTTCTGGATCTTTTGGTCCTTATCACCAATTTGGCGTAGTACTTGTTCTAAGTCATTCTGTAAAGAAATGAGAACTACTAACCTTAAGGATAGAGAACTTAAAAAATTATTCCTCAAACATAAAATGATTGATAATAAATTTTATGACTCAAACTGTTAGTCTTACTTTTTTTTATTATTAATCATTACATTTTAACATGGCAAATTTAATTAAATGAGTACTATATATTTAATATAAATCTATATTATTGATAACAAATTGGAATACAACAACAAAAACCCTTCAATTTACCACATTCTTACTGTAACACTCTGACCTCACCCACTACTACTCTTCTTCAATCCATTTGAGACTCATGGGACGCTCCTCATTCCTTAATCACACCAGGCACACTCCCCCCTCGGAGCCTTTGCACTAAAGCTTCTTCTGCCTGGGACACTTCCCTCAGTCACATGGCTCATTCCCTCCCCTTCAAATGTTTTCTCAATCAGTCCTACCCTGACCATTACATTTAAAATTGCAACCTTTCCCAATATTCCCTCTCCTGAATATTTTTTTTTTCTTTCCATAGCATTTATCTTCTAACAACACTAAATAATTTACTTATTTTTCATGTTTATCTGCCTCTCTCTACCCCCTCACTAGAATATATGCTCCACAAAAGTGAGGATTTTTGTTTCTTTTATTCATTGATGTGTCTGACACATGTTCTAAGATATTTGTTGAATTAACAGAAAAATAAATGACTGCATTCTAACACATACACTCAGGAAGGCTCACTTCAATACCACAAAAGGACTCTGTTATCGATACATCAAGGGATGCCTCTTCCTTTACTTTACCAAAGTAATGTTACATGGAATACAATGCAATAGCCCACATCCCAAACAATGCCCATTAATGTCTTAGAGCTGCCTGACCCACAGCTTTTGCCTCTGCCTCAGTCCTTTTAAGAGCCAGACAGCCTCTACCCAGAGCAAGGCCCTAAAAAGCCCCTCTGCAAATCTTATTGTAGCCCACACCATCTTGTAAGACAGAGCTAGCAACCACCTGTTATTATCAATGATTTGTGCCAATATTTGAAATCAGTCACTTTCAAACATGCTTCTCATCCCTCTAAGCTTCAATCACGAAATAACGAAAGGCAACCTAACCTCTCTGCTCTCATCCTATTTCCTGCCACTAGTGACTTGTCTCCACATTGCACTAATCGTCTAGAACCACAGGACTTAGCTTTTTTCCAGAACAGTCACTATTTCCAAGGCATAACTGAAATGTGATTCTTCTTTTACAGACACTGGTTCCTCCTCAACCCCCTCCGATATTGTAAGGCCTATTCTTCTGGGCATGCAGGAAAGGTTGCCCCTTTCCTGGTTTTACACTGCCATTACTCTCTCCCTTACATAAAAGTTTCATGCTGTTTTGGGGAGTATGTCATTTATTTATTCTATGCTTTATTCACTGAAGACTTGAGACCTGATTTAGTCTTTCTCTCAATCTCAATTTCTGCCAATTTCCTGGGAAATACAAAATACATAGAAACTTAAGAGCATAGCCTCAACATGCATATCATTTTAATTCCTAGACCTTTACTCATTCTATTAAATCACTCACATGTAGGATCTTGAAAATTGTTCCAGATGAAAAATTTCATCCATCCTACTCTGTGACCACAACTTACTGTGTTCCAATTTCATGACCTCATTTGTGCTCTTCTATGTCAGAGACATTTACTTCAATTTTCTTCAAGTTTATTTAGAATAAGGCTAGCTTCTCTTCCTGAACCTCACCTATGGATATAAACCAACTTTAACTATTCTTTCAACTACTATTTTCAATTTCCTTTTACTCCCAAATTTCCAATATGGACACACACACACACACACACACACACACACACACACACACACACAAACCCCCCACCTCTCCACAACCCCCAAACTCCCCATAAAGGCCGATCCTAGGTTGATAGTTTAATCTGCTTCCTCCACCCCTACATTTCTAAGCACTGTTAAAGCAAAATCACAAAATTCCACAGAATGGTGCTAGTACAAATTTCTAGACTCCAACTCCATTATAAAAGGGGGAATGGGGATCCTTCAGGAATATCTACCTTGATTTTTCCATCTCCTAATGCATAAAATTATGCATATCCAATTTATCTCCTTTCTTTAAGCTTCAAAGGATACCCTTCAGAGGATAAATTCAAACGTACCACCATCCATTGTATCAGTGACATCATAGCTTTTCATCAATACCTTATACCTTCAGTCACCTCTCCTTCTCCAACATCCTCAATTACTCCCTCTACCAGTCCCTTTGTCCTAGGCTATAAACACGTTCAAATATCTCTCATTCTCAAAAATACTTCCTGAACCAAGCCCCACTCCAATTTCTGCCCAGTCTTCATACAATTCACATTTAAATTTCAAAAGTAATGCATATTTACTTTCCTAACTCCCTCATCTCTCATTTACTCATCAATCAAAAAAATCAGACTTTCATCTATATTGCTTTATTTAAATTATGTTTAACAAGGTCACTAACTTACTTCTTAATTGCTTAACCTAATGGATATTTTTCATTTATCATACTGGGCATCCCCACCACATGCCCACCTTTGAAGTCCTTTAGCTTGCACTGTGTAGGTTCTCCTTAATTACTCTGATCATTTTCTTTTTAGGCTGCTCTTCCTCTACTCATCCATTCCTTAAGTGCCGGTGTTTCCCAGAAGTCTTGTGTTATTAGTTATCTATTTTTCTCACTATACTCTCTTCCCTGGCTGACCACATCTATTCTAATAATTCCATTTACCCCATATATACTGATATCTCTCACAGCTAATACATATAACATAGTTTCATTCTCCAAGCTTTAAATTACTATATCCCATAGGTGCCTCAAGACATCCAAAACTGCACTCATCACATTCCCGTATAAAATGTGATGACCATTTGTCTCACATTCGCTAACATAATTGATGACACCACCATTTACCATGCACTCAATGTTATCACTCAAGAAGTCATTCCCTTTCTCTCTCATTCCCTACAACTATTAAGTCAAAAAGTCCTATTTATTTTACCTCTCAAGTATTATTCATGCTTGTTCCTATGACATTTTTTAACAATTGCTTGAACTAAGATCATTATTATTTTTCATCTAAACTACTGAATTTACTAGTCTTTTAACTGATCTCCTGTTTCAGAATATTCCTTCCAACATCCTTCACATAACCATAAAAGGGATCAAATATATGGTGTTGGAAGGAGAACTGACTCTGGAAGGTAAACACACAATGTGATATACAGATGATGTATTACAGAATCGTACACCTGAAACCTATGTAGCTTTACTAACAATTGTCACCCCAATAAACTTTAATTTAAAAAAAAAATCAAATTTGGCTATGGCGCTTCTATCTTAAGACCTTCAATACCTTTCTATCTTCAAGAATAGTCACCCAAGGCCTTCCAAAAACTTACACATCTAATGCTCTGGCCTCTTCTTTAACTAATCTCTCAATTACATCCGAAGCTCCAGCAAAAGCTAACAGTTTAGTTGCCACCAGCTTCAGTATCCTTGTTCTTGTAACTTCTCCTTGGAGTGTACTCCTCACTATCACCATCTTTGCAACCCAGAGACATCCATGCATCCTTTGCAACTCAGATTGTCACTTCTAATAAGTTTTCAATGACTGCTCTTTCCAGACTCTATCCAAGTTAGAGAACTGTCCTCTATGCTACCATAACTTTATATACATATATACACCTAGAACTACACTCACTACATTTCTTTTAATTAGTTTTTAGGACTTTTCATGTTTCCAGAATGAGACACTTTGTCTGGCTTCTTTGCCATCCTTTTCTTATTCCTCCCCAGGGAATGAGAATTTAACTAATTGGAAAGTTTGGATAGAAAAACTAAGCACGTGGGGGCCGGCCGAGTGGTTCATTGGTTAAGAGTTGGCTTGGGAGCTCGAGCTCTGAGCAGCAGGGCCGGCGGTTCGGATCCCACATGGGCCAGTGATGCTGCACCCTCTACAGCTAAGATGGTAAACAACAGCTCGTCCTGGAGCTGGGCTGCTGTGAGTCGTGGGCAATGGTGCAGGCTGCAGTGGGGCTTCAGAGGGCTGCCGTAAGCTACCATGAGTGGTTGATAGCCAGCGTGAGCGGCTGTGAGCCACCGTGAGTGGCGGTCCAATGGCCTGCGACTGATCTGCCTCAGCAGGGAAGAGCACAATGATCACAATACTAACATGGGCCAGTGAAGCCACGTCCTCCACAACTAGACTGAAGACCAAAAGGACAGCAACTTGTCTGTTTCCCTTCTCTGATTCCCCAACGCTGTTCCCCTCCCCCAATTCCCCAACAGAAACTTTTTAAAAAAACAAAAACAAAAAAATACTAAGCACGTTTAACTCAGCCCCTTGCTCTCCCCTCAGTCTGAGAGACAATCTGTCTATACGAAGGTGAAAGGCTGTCATTTCCAGCTTTGTCTATGAGTGGATACATAAATTTAACTATGGGGTGCAGTACAGTAAAACCCACTGGGCTGCAGTCCTGTGCCAAGTTCTCTACCTCGGATTTACCACCCTATTTCTTTGCTACTTTTTAGAGTAAAACTCCTCGAGTTATCTATATTTATTTTATCAAATTTGTGTCTTCCCATTTGCTCTTGCATTCTCTCCATCAGGCTTTCAGCCCTCCTTCTCTATCCAAATTGCTCTTACCAATGTCATCAATTACCTCCATGATGCCAAATCCAATAGGATTCTCAGTCTTCATCTTGCTTGACCTCCATCTTCTGACTATCCAAGCCAAAATCCTTGGAATCATTCTCTCTCAATGCCCCACATCAATCTAACAGTAAATTTGTCACCTTCACCGTTACCTTTACCTGTATCTCAAAACCACTTCTCACTACCTGCACTTTTTGCACCCTGGTCCAACCTACATCATTTCTTGTCTGGATTATTGTAGTAGTCTCTTAGCTAACTTCTTTGCTTCTACACATGTGCCCCTACAGTTTACTCTCAACACAGCTGTGAAATTCTAAGTCAGATCATGTTACTCCTTTTCTCAGAACCCTCAAACGATTTCTCATCCCACTCAGAGTAAAATCCTTAAAATTACCTAAGAGGCTTGACATGTTCTAACCCTCTATGATCTCCTCTGACTGTGTCCCTTTTAAAATTTGTATTATTCACACCACTGCAGCCACTGGCTTCCCTATGTTCCTTAGCTATGCTCTTGCCTCAGGGCCTGTTAGTACACTGATGCTCTTCTCTCTGATATCCACATGCCTCACGCCCTCCTTTCCTTCAGGACTATCATCATTGCAGAGAGGCATTCCCTGGCAAAGCTATCTAATATTGCAGTTATTGACCTCCAGCTCCCCAGATACTTCCTACTTCCTGCCCTTTTTTCATCTCTAACACTTATTACCATTTAACACACTATATATTTTGCTTATTTATCTTGGCTATTGTTTGTCCCTCACTAAGCTCCATGAGAGCAGACATTTTTATCTGTTTTCTTCACTGCCATATCTACAAAATCACTTCCTTGATGAAGAGCACACATTAATACATACTTGCTGACTGAATGAATGAAAGAACAAATATATGAATACACTATTTTCATGCCTGACCATGTGACTCCCAGGCCACTCTCCAAATTCAGAAGGGAGAGAGAGGCATGTTACTTACTGCCTCCTTTAAACTTCAATCTTGTTTCCGTGAGCACAGCATTAGATTGCCATTTCCTAGAAGGCAGCACTGTGTCTTACTCAGCTCTTTATTTCAGTGCTTATCACAGGGCCTGGCATACAGTGCTCAATAATATTCAATGAATTAATGAAATGTTGAATGAATGAGTAAGTGAATGTTAAAGTAGAAGTCATTTCAAACATTTGGGCACCCTCTTCCCCTCACCATAACAAAACAAAAATTTAACTTCTTCCAATCTTCTAAGCTATGCTGTAGAATCTGTATGAATTTAACCAATCACTTATATTTTCTAAACCCACCATTCCAATGTTCATACAATAGTTCTGATGCAGGGAAAGAGATGACCAACAAACACTAAGTTCTACTCCAGGAAATACAAAATGTTGTTTTTTACTGGGCTAATAGAACCAGGAAATTTTATTTGTATTTTTTTAATTTTTCAAATGAGTTATTTAAACAATACACCTAAAACTAATATAATATTGCATTATATTATTTATTGTATATTTCATTATATAATAAAAATAAACTAATATTTATTTTATATCAACAGTAATTGATAAATTAATAAATAATAACAAATAATGTTACATAATATATTATGTATAAAATAATTTAAATAAATAATAAACACATTTTATTTAAATAAATAAATTTAATAGATTTAGCTCAGAAATTTCATAACTTTAAATATTTTTATAAATAAAAAATTTACTTATATAATAAATCTATTTACAATAAATCATTTCAAAATATTTTAGAGAAAATTTTTAACATACCAATCAAAAGAAAAAGATTTTCTGATTATCCAGGTACTGAAAATTACCAACAAGCTTCATAATCAAGTATTTTACATTATTTAGTTTTATCACCACAAAAGTAATGATTTGGCTATTTTTTTTTAAAAAGCTAATAATTCAAATAATATTTACCTGAGCTTCTCGAAGTTTTGCTGTAGTGCTTTGCTGAAGAGCTTGTTGTTCCTGATGCTGTTGCTTTGTTTTATCTAATTGATGCTGCAATTCTGTGGAATTTGTTACTTTTTCCTTCAACTTAAAAAAATGTAGACTGTCAGTTGACAACGTAAAGGCATAATGCTGTCATTCATAAATACCTGAGTTTACTTCAAATCTCACAATTCTCAAGTCTGAAGAGAAACTAAATTCAAGCAATATATAAAATCAACCTTAGGAGCAATATCTCATCAATTATAAAAGCTTAATAAAATGACTAGGAAAGTATTCCCTAGGAATAGACTCTCACCCTGAGAAGAATACAATTCTTTCTCCAGGCAGGCATTTACTTTATTATATTTTTTGTACACTAATATGATCAAGGAATTAGTTACATACAAGTTTTATAACAATTATCTAAAGCAAAGTATTTACATGAATATCTAATTCATGTAGATATCTAATATATCTACATGATATAT